ATTTAGCCCTAAAACAAGCATGTTGTGATTGGTGAGGATGTTGCAGATATGAAAACCAGGTGAAATATAGCTGGTTACTTTTCCTTAGCTCTAGCTTACAAGTTGTTTTAAGGGATCAATGAAAAGTCTTGCTTTCAGGTCTTAGCACAGCAATAGGAAGTAAGTGCTGGCCATGCGGTGGGTTGTGTGATACAGATTGCAGGTCACCCCTCAGGTGATGCCCTTCACAGCCCCTGTCCTGTGATCAGCTCTCACCTTACTGCTGTCATTATTTACTTCTTGAAGTGCTCTGCTCTGTGGAATTGCTTTGTCACAGTGTTTCAGCACCAAAGGTGCAAGTTGAAGCATTCATAAGAATTTTTTTTGGTGCTAATAATAGATCTCTATGTCTCATTGTGAAGAGTTTGCTACCTGAGTCAGACACGGGGCTGTCTGTTTGTTTTCTGATGGTGCAAAGCAATTAAAACCTTCATCCTTTTTGAAGTCAGCTGGTGAGATGGGCCTCCAGCTTCCCAGAATCTGCCTCTAGGCTGATTACATAAACTATTCATTATTTGTGAGAAAGCAGGATAGAAATTTGGACTCTCTAACTGTATAAACATCATCCTTCAGGAGAAGAGCAGGGGAAACAGTCCTTTCTGGTTAACTTTGGAGAGCGGCCTGCCAGCAGTGTGCAGGATGGGTGAGGTGAGAGGGAGCTGCTGAGGCGCTGCAGGATCAGGCTGACGTGGGGATGCGAGACAGGTGGTGAGGAGCAGAGAGGGGCAAAATCGGTATTTAACACCACAAAGCTGCTCAGTTTGGCCTAGGCACAACACTGCTTCTGCCAACAGCAGCTACAGCGTTCCAGAAATACAGACCTCCCTCCTGAGCCAAGGCGTCTCGTTTTATTTTAAACCCTTCTTTCCCGGGCAAGGCTCAGCAGGGAAGAGGTACCACACCGCAAAACACTGTCTTCTCTGGGTCCGGGAGAGAGGAATGGGATGAAGGAGTGGTACCAGCAGCTCCCAGCTGTGTCCAGGTCAAGAGAAAGCTGAGGAGAGTGGAAGGAAAGCTGCAGCTGTGGGAGGAGAAGCAGCAGCTTACCTTGGGTCAGAGTACAGGAAGGCCAAAGAGGAGAATCACACATACAGATTTTAACCTTAATTTCACACGTGATGTGACCACTGGTTAGGAGCACTGAAGATTCTTTCTTGCTCCAATACCAGTAAATACCTTTTCGCTCAACACTGTAAACTGAAGGTGAAGTGAAAACATTTCTGCATCCCCAAAGTGAAAATGAGTGTAAAGGGTGGTAAATGCAGGATGGAGGGGTAAAAAGTAATGGGTAGAAATAATGTGGTTTGAAAATAGGGCAAAGTCTTAAAGTCAGAATTAGGAAGATGCCAGGAGCACAAATCAGCTAAAATTTAGTTACTAGCCTGAGAATTGTGTTAGCGCATCTCCACCCACTAAGCCAAGCACTGAAGCATCCCCCGCAGCTTTTTTTAGTTTCTACAATAGATTTGGAAAGATCAAAGTCTCAACACCATCAACAAATTTTCCTTAAGCCTCAAGATGACTTCTTTTAGTGAGATATTTGAAAGCAGGCACAAAAGAATTGTCATGTTTTTTGAAGGCCTCCGTTCTCATTTGCACGGGTGGGGACAATGCATTGGGACAAAGTGCAGGAAGGCTGCCTGCTGGCCACTATTATTCCCTTTCTGGGACCAAAGAAAGCATTGTATGAAAGCTTTCTTTTGGGACACTGTCACCGTCAGGCTGAGCAGCTAGCTTTGTGCACACTGTTGTTTTATACATGAAGCCATCTAGTAGGATGGCATGTCCATTCACTGAGGCTTCGTGTAGGGTGTAATAGTAATGAGTGAATATGACTAAAGAAATGGAAAAGGAAGAGCTTTATTTACGACGTTGAGAAGCTTTTACCATATGGAAATGATCAGAATTTAAATTTTTATCATCTGTCACAATTTGCTGCTGCTGCTTTAATTAAAATAACACCATGAATACGTACGGTGAGTCTGGCAAGATGTGCTTTGTGCTGTTAATGACCGTCAGATGCTAAGGCAAAGGGACACAGAGGGGGCACAGTGGAGGGAAGATCCTGAGGGAGACAGTGCCAGATGGCTGGGCTTATTTTATTAATTTAGCTCTGTGTTCTGGCCTCTTGTCTTCCTTTCTCCCAAGGATGGGTTGCTTCACTGGCAGTCACTTCACATCATGGTACGACGTGTTTAACTCTCAGAGCACTGCAGCAGCAAGGGGAGCGCACCAGCCCCGTGTGCCCTTGCTCTGTAGCCCTGAGGATCAGGTGGTCAGTGTTGTTCCTTCCAGCTGTCACATCCTCTGCGACCCTCTGCTATGTGGCCTAGCAGCAGAGCCAGCTGCTGTCCTAAACCACTTCCAGCCTCTCTCCGTGTGTGTGGGCCCCAAGGAGCATTTCGAGCAGCTCTTTGCCCTGTTGCAAAACCTTCTTGCTTGATGCTTCTTCCAGCTGCCTGGGCATCCAGAAAGCACAGCAAAGGCCTGGGAGTCAAAGTAGGTGATTTTTTTTTACACTTCAGTTTTGTCTCCTCGCCTGGTACTGCAGTGTCGGCTGCCTCCGTGTGGGTGTTGTGTGGAACTGCTCTGGTGATCATTAGGTATTAATTAAGTTTTGACATCCAGAGGAAAAAAGAGGGAAAGGAATCTTCTGACAAAACCTATTCTGAACAGACTAAAGCAAGGAGAGGAGACTTTTAGTTACTTCCCCTTCTCTGTGATGGCAGAGAAGCTCTGATGGATCAGATCTCCTGCTGTATTGGTAGCTGTCGATTTAGTACTAGAAACAAAATGAGCTTGTGCTCTATTATTAAAAAAATAATCTGGAAGTTTTTTGAGTTCCTGAAATCTCTATAAAATTTTGTCTTAATTTATTATCTATTTATTAAGAACATGTATCACATTTAAGTTGTCTTGGCTGCCAATAAAGCAATTAGTGAGACTATTTTTGATCACAATAGCTGGAACACATGTCAAGATGCATGCCAATGGTCCATGAGTTTGGTAAGGCTGAAAAATCCCAAACCACCTGAATTCACCCCAAAAATCTATGGTATGATCGAAATACTGTAGCACCCCTTTGCACTGCTCTTTTCATCCCCTTCACTGTCACCCTTTAAATCCTGCTTGACTCTTTTCAGCAGCAGTAACTCCTGAGAGGCAGTTCCTGTTGCCCATCAGGTAGTGACCAACTGGGTTGATATTCTGGAGCAAGAAAAAGAAATGCAGGGCCTTCATATGCTTGAAAGCATCATGATCAGGTTTTTGTCACTCTTACAATTGCAAATTAAGTGCAAAGAAATTGGCTCATCTAAGGAACGTTTGTGTGAGAACGGCACTCTGCTAGCTTGGGGTGGAGACTCAGTGGTCCTTGGGTTGATGTTGCACGTTGTTCTGCTTCAGGTTATTCTTATTCGTGCTGTATATTTAATATTAGTTAAAATATTTAGTTAAGTGTTAGCTGAGATTAGATTAAAATTGGAAGACCAATGAGAGTTTGTCAGACTATCAAAATTAGATCTTGGGGCATAGTAAATATACTAGGCTGACATCAAGAAAACGTTACTAGACCTTCCATAGCCCTCCAAAATTGCTTGAGTACAATCCAGTCGTTTTGGTAGAATAACTTTATCCATGTTGTTTATCCCACTGTTACCCAGTTGCCTTAATTCTGTTTTCTAACTGCTTGTGTTCTGTGCTCTTTTCCTCAGCACATTTTGTTCTAATATTCATTATTGTACCAGGGCTAGAAGGAATGGGCTCTTGGCAGACAGAGAATGAAGTAGTTTGAAAATACAACATAGGAAACTGTACTAAAACATACCAAATACTGTTTGGTATGACCCTCAGGCTGTGGGGATGTGAGCACGTCACACCTGTAATTACCAATACCTTGCTAAGCAGTTTTTCATCCTTATCTCATTTCTTTGCACCTGGAGTTGCCGCTAAAATAAAATAATGGAAATGGATGGAGCTGCTGATGAATCACCGTGACAGTGTTCACTATAAGTGGGGGTTTTGGCCAGAGTATTTCAATCAGTAACAGGGTCCCTCTGGCACTGGCCCACTTAGACCTGCAGATAAAAATATTCTTGCTGTTTCCTTTATTTGTACTGATGTTACAACAGCTTAAATTAAAGCTTGTTTTAAGAGTAATATAATTCATCTACTTTGAAGCACTGTGGTCAGATGGCAAGAAGAAACACAGGGATTGCTGTTAGGTGCCTGAATGCAGCAGCTGTGTTTCAGTACCCAGCGGTTTCCTCACATCCCACCTGTAACCGTTGGATTAACACAGTGGAAGGGCGATACAGGGGTGTAATAGCAAAGGGACCAGCACAAAATGGATGGTGTTACAAAGGAAAAGTCCTCACCCATTTCTGAAGATCCAGGCTCACAGGAAAGACTCCACAAGGGAGGGATCTCCAACCAGAGATCTTTCCACAGTGGCAGTAAGCCATTACATGGGATCTAAGAGAGGTGCAGGCAGGCTCCACCCCTTCTGGTCACACACATGAATTGCCTTCACCTATGCTCCTGTTTCTTGGACCAGACTTTACATTACTTTAGAAAGGTTATTGAATTATTATTTCTTGCACACAAAAAAATCAACAAATGTCTGGTAAGTGGAATCTCAATCCTTCATCCTGCATGCAGACTTCCTTATTGATTGCATTAGATGTTAGGTTACTAGGCAGCCTGCAGTCAGCCCAGCAGGTGGTTCATCTCCTCAATCTCAGGGGTCTGAGTCTATTCAAAATGTGTTGCTTGGAACCATCATTAATTATGTTTGCAAGAGCAATTACTGCTGTCTGGAAGCCATAATCTAGGATATCTTTTTCTCAGGTTGTATACTTGAATGGCACAAATAATTGCATACTAACTATATTAGTATTTGTAATTTAATTATACTGCACAGAACCAGAAAATAGACTAATGTCTGACATCTTTTCTTTCAGGATGACTTTCTGTATAGTGTCTCCGTTTTAAGTGGCATCCTCTGCACTGTTTTGGCAGTAATCAAGTTTATGCTGGGCAAGGTCCTTACAAGCAGAGCGCTGATAACTGATGGTGAGTGTGAATACAAACCTGTTGCACTTACAGATTCTCCCAGGGAATGTGGTAGACCCAGAGATACAAGTGATCCCTGCACAAGGGCAGCTAGGGAAGTGTATTGAAATGAGAAAGTGGAAAAACACAGAGCAATTTTTGACCTCTGGCTTCTTACATAGATGCATCAGCTGCAATGAGTACCTCTGATGGAAGTCAAACAGTTAATGGGTAGCTAGTGAGCAATAACGGAAAGTTAGAGAGAGCACATAATATACATTAGGTGTATATAGGCCAGAGGTTGGAATAGTGTAGGGATATGACAACAATTTGTAGAGATTTGGCTAAGTCACATCTGTCCTCATTGCCTACACCTGGTGAACAGGTTCATCCCTACTGCTGAACTACAGAAAGTCTGCTGCAGAAAAAGCCATTCTGCTTTCAGTAGGAGTCTCAGCCATCATTCAGACTTCCTCCTATAGAGGTAATTTGCTGCCCTGGTTCTTTTCCTGTCACCTGCCCAGTACAGCCAGTACAGTAAGACACGTGGAAAACAATGCCACTGCTTATTTGTAAAGGCATGTGCAAGGCATGTTTTGAGGTGAGCTCCAGTACTCCTCTCACTTACAAGGCTAAAGCTTATGGATCTTCAGAAAGCTCCAGAGGGCTGCTCTGGAAACATGTGAGCCCGTGGGAGGATGGAGATGTCACAGATCCCTACAAATCTCCATCACATGACAGTTTGAAATGTTCTGTTAGGATACACAGTACTGTGTAAATGATTCACGGATTGTGGAATGTAAATTATTTTACTCTGCTAAAAATTTCACTTTAAGGAAACTCAGTTTTCAGTTTACTCTTGGGATGCATGTAATTACTTTATCTTAAGATATTTAAACCTACTTAATTATTTTGTGATAAATGGAAACACATACATTTTATATTGTCCCACATATAAATACTTTGTGTCTATTTATGTATTAAAATAAGCAAAAAAAGAAACAGCAGTGCAGAATGTAGAACTAAGCTCCTGCCTCTCTCTGTGTGTAGCTGCAATAGTCGTTGTTGTTTCTGTTCCTTAGTCTAGATTTTCCTAGACATTTTGAATCAAAAAGGATCTCCAGCCTGCAAAATGGATTCTGGAAAGGATCCTGGGAGCTGCAGACCAGTGAGTCTGCCTTATTTTGCTGTCAGTGTAAGCAGGACATGTTTGCTAGGCAGATTAACCTCCACTCTAAAAAAAAACGTGTGGCTTGTTTTTTAAGCAGCCAGTTTTTCAGACAAAATATTAGGTGAAAAATTCCTGAATAATTCTAGCTTTGCGTTGGGAAATTGCTTCCCTCCTAATTACATCCTTGAGCTAATTATATTGCCACTGAGCTGGAGCTTGCTCATTCTTTGATTAAAAAAATTAGGGAATAAGATATACAATTACCTTGCTCTGCTTATTACCTCTATTTTCTTCCTTCTAGGACTATTTTAGAAAACGTAGGAGGCTGGTATTACCGTGTGTACTTAAATATCTTCTTTCACAAAAAAACATTTACATATATGCTTAGTTGATTAACAACCAGGAGGAGACAGTATGATTCAGTACCTGAGACAGATTTAGCACTCCCTTGCAATTCTTTTTTTAGTGTTTTCTGTTTCCTACTAACTTACCTCCTGTGATCACTGGCTGTGTACCAGCAAACTGTATTGAGTAATTCAAGCATGCATTTTTCTTTCTCAAAAATACATGTATTTTTTTCTCTTGTACATGCCAATCTCTATTAAGGAGACATGTATATATGTACATATTTAAAGAACAGAGCTTTACAACCATAGATTTTTGAAGCCTAAATGTATTAATCCTTATGAAACAAAATGTTACTTGTACGATTTGTGTACAACAAAAGTTCATGGCCTTTTGGATAATAAAAACAGCTCTTTCCTATCTTGAATCTTGTACCATCTCAAAGAACAAATGTAGGGATGAGACAGGCAGGTCTGTCTGTAGGTTTTAGATACCCATTTCCTTCCCAGATTTTGCCACCTGTTTTTTCCTGTGCTGACCTCATGCACAGAACGTGGTGTCTGGATTCATACCTGCAGCTGCTGCATGATTTCCTGCCACACCAACAAAGAAAGGTTTGCCTGAATGGAAAAGAGACAATTTCCTTTGTAAGTAGCTTTTTGATCGTTTGGAAGCATCAGCCATTAATGACAAGAAGATGTCTTATTATTTCCTGACTTTTGGATATCGTGCTAATAGAATCTGGATTAAGCTGGTACATGGAACTGGCACTGGTATAAATTTATAGTGAATTAATTTATACTTAATATATTATACATGCACAATATATATTTCATTCACAGTAGAAGTAGTATGTTATACTTCTTGGGAATACAAGCAGACTAGGCACTAACAGAGTGCTTTGGGCATATGCTGGTTTAGATATACTGGTATAATTATTCCAGTAATCAAGCATGCGTATGCAAGATTTGTGATCCCAGTGGCATTACCAGTCCCAAAAAATTCCAGATCCTTTTCTCGTAGCTCTGGGAGCCTGATACCTTTGTATTCCTCAGTCTGCCACAGACTTGCTAAGTAACACGTGCTTTGCCATGCAAGGTTTCCTTTGGATTTAAATACCTACTGACAAAGGTCTGGTGCATCTTAAAGTATGGATGGATTATAAAAGTATTTCAGCTATAGAAGTAGTCAAGTGTTAGCTGCATCTTGGAGAAATGACTTAGTGTGGATGGGGTGGGATGTGATCAGCCTGGCTCAAAGAAGACATTCAGAAGTAAGTGTCATGCATGTGGTTGTTGGCAGACACGGAGAATTGGGCTGACTAAAGTTGACTTAGCACAAAATATTGGCTATTTCAAGTTAGACTTTTTCCTTTGTCATCAAGGTATCTACCAAATGAATGCATTATCAGGGACATTTTTTTGTTGTAGCACAGCAGCAATGCATTCTGGCTTACTGTGGAACATAAAAATCAGAAAAAGGGAGTTTGGAAACAAAAAGAATACAATCTTGAAAAATAATCTCTGAAAAATAATCATAATAACAAAGAAGAGCTGAAGGAAAAATGACACTAATCATTCTAAATCTCTGGAAAGATTTTAAAGGGACAATCTTGGAAAGGAACAGTTTAAAAAAGAGAGAAAGAAAGGAATCCAAAATGATGTCTATAGAATTTATGAGTAATAGGTATGAATCTGTTCCTGGGATTATTGTGTGTCTTCCCTAATGCAGTCAGCAGTGTGTGCAGCTCTGAGCTATTGTGCTCAGAGAAAAACAAATATCTGGAATGGAGTAAAAACCTCTGTGATAACATCTGTGAACAGTTATTGTGTGAAATCATTTTCTTTTTAATGAGCATCTGGGGTATCCTGGACTCTAGCTGACTCCTGTTCAGAGAAAGGAAGAGACTTCAAGTCCCTTACTGATCTTCCTTTGATGTTCCTGTCAGGGCTCGCTGTGTGTGCTGCAGTACTAATTACCTTACGGAGATGATCTTGGGAAGATATCTATGCAAGGGGCTACAGCCAGCCAACTACTGGTTTACAGCTCAGAGGTAGTTGGTTCTGATTCGTGATGATGAGCTGCAAGAGGAAGAAATGCTGCACTGTCAAAGTCAGCATGGAGCAGTGCAGCTTTTGAAGGATTTAGCATCAAGAAATCAAAGCTGTTTGAAACAAACAGCAGCTAGAATTAGGATTTGGAACTCAATAGGGTCATGAGAAACAGTTGGGACCAACTGAACCAAGACACCCAGTACAAGGAAATGGATGTAAACTCCTATATCAGAACAGACAAGTGCCAGAGCTTAAAAACTGGTCACACACCAGAGATTGCAAGTTTGATTTGTAGAACAGAAGCATTGCAGTCTGCTGGCTAATGGTGCAAACAAATGGCACACAGGACACCTCACACAGGGATCTTCGCCTTCTCTGCAGTACTGGCACAAACTCAGCTTTTCTCCATACAGGTGAACTCCTCTCATGTGACTTTGTTGAGATTTGGTTCTTCCTCTTTTTTTTTCCTTCTTTCTTTCTCTGTCTAGGCTTCAACTCTCTTGTGGGTGGAATAATGGGATTTTCCATCCTTCTTAGCGCAGAAGTCTTTAAACACAATTCTTCTGTCTGGTATCTGGATGGCAGTATAGGAGTTCTAATTGGACTTACAATATTTGCCTATGGAATCAAGTGAGTATCTCCTGCTAGTAGGTATTTCAGTATGCACTGAAGATGGGCGGTCTTTTTAATGTAAAAAGTCATAGCTCCTAAATGCCTGTGTAACTCCAGTTACTGCAGTTTATTAGACCAGCTGCCAACAGTGTGGCACAGCGCATGGAAACAGACAAAAGAGTGTCTGTCTCACATCAATAGGAAAGAAGCCAGAACTTAAAAGAAATTAGAATTGTTTTAATGAGGCATTTCTTTACCTGCATTTGGAAATATAGTAATGGAACAGTTTTGGCTTCAAAGCATTCAAAAAATAACCAATAATTTCAGGAGTGGTGTTACCTGCGATTTCTGTCTTACCTCCACCATGTAACAACTTTTGAACTGGAAGTTAGCCAGCTTTTTTCAAATAATATTGTTTGTACTGAATGTTAAGATTATTTATTGACTCCAGACAGCAGAAACAGAATAATATTGAATGAAGCTCTGCTATAATTTCCCTTGCCTGCAAGGAATATGAGGGTTTTGTGTTTCATTGCTCTTTCTCCATAAGAAAAAGGGGACACGCAGCATCTTATTCAATTGGAATCATGACTGTTGAGAGGTGGACTTTGGATGCAGTAAGTTCTCAGCTGGAAGCTGTGTTTTTCTTCCCTTCATTGGAAAATTGGAAAACTAGCATTTTAATGGAGAATACCATTTTTGAAAAATCACTGTGATCACTATTATTTCCACTGCAAAACTAGCTGTTCTGGAAAACTATAGAGGCAAACCAGTGCTGAAGTATTTAAATGTGCCAAACAGCCTCAGAAGCCTTTGGAACAGCCTCAGAAGCCATGCTGCACCCACGCCATCATTTGCTTCTGCATGGTGCCTTGCATTTCTGCATAACCACTCCTGTGCTCTCCTTTGCAGGTTGCTTATTGATATGGTGCCCCGCGTACGGCAAACGCGCCACTATGAAATGTTTGAGTGAAGATCACACACCTCTTCTTTGTAAGGACTCTAAAACTTCAGCAGTTTGGGCAAGTGGTGCCAATGGTATTTTATTCAATATGCCGTTTGTTTCCCGTGGTCCGTTTTTGTTGAAGTTTGTTTTAATGGGAAATCTCTCTGTAAAATTGGCATATGTGCACACTGCTTGCAATTCAGTGAAACAGCAGCATTTTTCTTTCAATATGCTATTGATTCCTGTGACTATAGAAAACATGCAGTTTGCAGTTCTAGCCCAGCTGCCACATTGTATATTCTGAAGTGAAAGTGTTCTTAATGATGTGATAAACCTGTGGGTAAAGAAGTGCCAGTTTCAGATCTTGTTTATTTGCCCTGGCCTGTATTTTCCTAAACACATGCTGTAACAGAAGCGCAATCCTTGCTAACCTCTTTGGCTATGGAATATGCTGTTGTAAAGAGCGGACTCCAAGAGCTGTGTTGCTTTGGAACACTTACCTGGGATCTCCCTTCATCCCTTTTTAAATAGGCCCACAGAAAGAGAGGCTACAAACCTTTCTGGGATCAGAGCGGTTCTTCATCTGAGCCCTAACCTGAGCGAAGCGATACCTCTTCAACTTAAATTCTATTTTTTCTTAAGAAGACACTGTTTGCTTTGCATGGACCAAACAAGCACACACAGTATTACTGTACAGACCAAAGCCAAGAAGTCACGCAAGGAAGAGAAGCTGCTTGAGGAATGAGACTTTTTATTCTATTATACTTTACACAGATGTGTTGGTGTGTGTGACTGTGGTTGCTCTGTAGTCTGATGATGGCACAGCAGTGGCGCAACTGGGTGGTGAGACAGAGATCTATTTATTAGATTTAGATTGTTCTGTAAAGTGTTGCTCACCTTCCATCGCACATCTTATGTATTACTAGCAGGTTAAATTATCAAAGAAACTCGATGTATAAACAATAAAACTGGTATCTATTTTATACAATACCGTAAGTAACATTTAAAAACTATTTCCAGAATGTACCATAGAGCAAAGTCTTCCTGTATAGCAGCCTATTAAACTGGATTCTCTGGCTATATCCATTTTCTCTTTATTTTATATATTTCAGGTTGGCTTTCACAACACAGAGCCACTATATTGCTTCTGTTTATCACAGGTGAATTAAAAATAGCAGACAGTCCACTGCAGAGGTTGAAATTGGATTGTGGTAAGTAGCCAAGTAGCTAGAAACCCCCATTTTTAGTTCCTCTACAGTAGATTATGTAAATGAGAGTAGATCTATAATGAGACTGTTCAGTGACTGATGTACAGTGGGGACACTAATAGTTTACTGACGCCTTGTGTCATCTACAACCATATTTCCCTTCAAATGTCACACAGCAAGTTGTCAGCCAGGTTCCCCAGGGTCCTTATTAAAGGCAAGCTCCCACTGATGTGTGTAGGAAGAGGCACCAAAAGTACAGGACAGTCAAACTGACAGATGCTCTTGGTTGTGCAGAGGGCAAAGAGAATGAAGTTCATACATGAAACAGCACAGAGTGCAAACTGATACTTACTAAAGCACGTCCAAACTCAGAGCTGCGAATCCCTGAAAATGTCAGTGAATCTCAGTTGAGGCTTTGAATTTATCCATGTAGTACAGCAGAGAAGGAAGCTATCAAAACCCCACACCATGCTTTGCATGTGCCAGGTGCCAGACATGAGGTGTATTTTGCATACCTTCATTGTTAGGCAGTGGAAATTGATAGTGTTCCACCTCTGGCTGAAAGCCAGGTTTTTGAGCCCAGAAATCACCAAACTAGAATCCCTTGCCAATTCAGTCCACTTCTAGCCTTGTAGGTAAGCCATAAATAACCAGCATTCAACCACCATCTGAAAATGATGTTGCAGAACTGGACTTGAAGACCTCAGACAGGCGCTTCCTCAGACAATGTCAAATTAAGCTCTCAGTATGCACACTTCTGAGCTCTCCTCACTAATGATAACACCACTTGCATTTTTGCAATCTCAGCTGCCTGGGAGCACATAGACATTTCTGGGAGCCAGAGAGGTAAGGAAGCATTGAAGCTACTGGCCAAACGCTATCCCTGATACACTGATCTGTGAGAATACCTCATCCTGGACTTGCAAGTGTTTCACTGTACTCATAGCACTTTTAATTTCTCAGCACTGCTTTCAGGTATGTGCTGCTGCTATGTTACATGCACTGCCATGCAGCAGTACTGTGACAAAGCACTGTGCTGACATGCACTGCTCATCAGGCATCAGAACTGAGACAGGAGAGGCACAAACCCACATTCCTGTGGGTCCAGGTTATGCAACTGGAGAGTAATTAAATCAAACTCCAGCCAATCAAGGGACCTGTCCTGCTGCTCCCACACCTGGGAGCAGGATGCTTTCCCACTCCTGTCAGCCCCAGGATGAGCCTGTGGGGAGGCAGTGACCAGTTCCTGCATGTTACCTGTTCCACGCTATCAGCTGCATTGCTGGGGTTGGCACCGCTGAGCCTCAGGCAGAACTTGGGAGCAGAATCATGGTGGCACTGCATGGACAGCCAGGAGCGACGCAGGCATCAGCAAGAACATCAGCTGGAGGGCTGAAAGTGCATTTGATAGAAAGCCTTTGCAGAGGAGTTTGTTTTGCAAGTAGTTCTGTACTCTGGATGCAGTGTGCAGCCAGCGTCCACAGTCTTCCTTTGGGCTGAAAATTATTAGGAAGTATGTCTAACTATTGGAGAGGGAAAGTTGCTCTCCTGAAATGAATCTTGAATTTATCTGTCTTTAAATCCAATTTAGATTTAGAACAAAGCAAAACAAAGATAACAAAGTGTCCTTTCTTACCACTGGGATGTGGGCTGTGCTTCTGCTGCGTGGGCAGCTGCGGGCTGCGGATTGTCACACAGATGCAACTCTGGATCCGTGGCAGCTCACAGATTTGCCATTTATGCACAAAGCAATCATAGATCCAAATCACACAAGAAAAAGGTTTATTGAAAAATAAAGTTCTCCCTAGTTTTTTTTTCTACAACAGTGAAAACAAAGCATTTTTCTATGCCATTAAAGTACAGACATTTACGTTTCTAAAAAAAATAAAATAATCTTATCCTATTGAACCCCAGTAACTTGACAGTATCTGAATCACTGTGTTCTCATCTTTTCGAATCAAACTGTTTGAATGCAATATAGTGGAACACAACCATTCAAATAAAGACTTTAGCAGAGATTTCCAACTGAACACACACAGTAACCAGCCTGACCCTGAAGTTCTTACAAAACTATAAAAACTCCAACTCCAAATTATTTTCCGCAAAAAGCAGCCTTTCTTTTTACAGATTTCAGCAGGTTTTTGCTTGATTTCTCCCCTTACAGTGCTACAGGGATTACTCAGAATTTTCTAGCCTTTCCCTATGGAGATGCCTCCAGGGAAGGAATGAGACCAGAAAGCAGAGAGCTGCTCTGTCACCCTGCTGCGCTCAGCCAGAGAGAGAACTCAGCTCAACCCAGCAGAGTGAGCATTCCTTTAAGTTTTAACGTTTCTCTTGTTGCAATCTGCAGGGTAAGTTTTCTCAGAAAATTGACTCCCTTTTCCTTTTGCTAAAAACTGCCATTTCCTCCTCCTCTGCCGTATTCGTTTGTGAAAACTAAACAAAATGGTTTTCACTGTCACCATATTACAGCAAGCTTGTTAATGAGCATAAGAAATGAGTCCTGGGTATAACCCTACTAAAACGAACTGCCCTCAGATGGCCATTCAGCATGATTTACCGTGTACCTGTGTGACACCGGGAACGGCTGCAGTTCTGCCGGGAGCTGGGCCGGGCTGTGTGACACACACTGCAGCGTGGGGAAAGTGGAGTTACAACTCCTTTTATCAGCGCTTTGAGGACCTGGCTTTATTTACCCATTTAATAAGCAGGTTGCGCCGTGTTATTGGGAGAGGTCTGCAGAATCAGAGCCCAACACGAGTTTTAATTAAATGACTGTGTAAAGGATGACTCACGTGGAAGCTGCGCTTTGTTACTTTTCCCTGGAGGAAAGAACACGAGCAATGCCATACAGCTGAGGTTCAGCCTCTGCAATTTTCAACACATCCCTACAGTAAACATTTTACACTTGATACACGGAGTTTGCTGTTTACACATTCCATTTAAATATAATATTTGGAACTTACAAACTAACTTAAAAAAAAAAAACACCCAACAACTCCAAAGCTACTTAAAAATATGAAGACAAGATTTAAGTCACTGACCATTAAACAAAATGTTTTAACACTACAGTACAGCAGTGTTATTAAAGCATACTTAAATGAAACCTGTCCCTGGTCTTTCCAGCCTGACCAGAAGCCCATATCAGCCAGTGCATCGTTCTCAACTTTACAGTGGTGCCTGAACTGCTGGGGACAAAGGAGAACCACAAATGGAAACCAATCCTAAGTCAAAAGCTGAAGGCAAAGCAGCTGCAGGGAAAATGTCACACAGAGCCATGGCAAAAAGTTAGCACCCCTCAAAAAAAGGCTTTAAAGTCGAAAATGGTAACTGATATTCTCTTTAAAACAAACAATCAAAACAAAACTAGACTCTAGCACTCCATAATGCAGAGCGGACAGTTATTTAACCAGGTTCTGAACCAATACTATTATGGTGAGTCACACCAACTTAGGGATGATAAATGCTATAGCAGCAAGCAAAACTGGCTGCTGGTAACATGCACAGCATAACCTGCAAGGGTTTAGTCTTTATCTGTAGGATGGTGCTTTATCAAAAAGGGAGAGCTGTTTTCTTTAATTTGAAGAGAAATTAATGGGGGAGTCCTGCTACCAGTGAAGCCAGTGGGAGTTGTGAAATTAATTACTTGGATGAGAATTGTACCCAGCCTCATTTATCCCCTTTCCTTTTCACTGGAGTAAAACCTGGTCCTGAAATGCACTGTGAACAAAATACATGCCTAAGAAAGCAACTTGAATTTTGTTTATTTTGAGTAAGTAGCAGCTTGTAACCCATCTTTGTAATTTAGAGGGGACGCTCATTTCTGAGAAGGGAGGCATGTCTTTAGTTAGAGGACAGCCCAAGAACACACGGGAGGATTTAAAGGTCAGAACAATGTGATTAAGCAAGGAGAGAAGACATTGGTGAACAGCCTCACTTGCACCTGATGGTAATTTTGGACAAGTCTGAGCACCTGTCAGTGAGCAAGTTACAAACAGCTGCGAGCATTTGCAGCACAGCTGAGCAGGGAGTGCACAGAAACCTGGCTCTGTCCTCAGGCCTGGGCTGCTGAACCTGGAGCAGCAGCTGTTAGACAAAATATCCTCACAGAAATGAAAATAGAGATTTCTGCAGTCAGATGAACAGCCAGAATTCCCTCTCCACTGAGGCTGATACATTTGGATATGGACTCATACATTTGCATATAAAGGACTGCATGTTAAGAGCACCAGGAGTCACCCTGTGCACTTCCATCTGAACACACTTGTATGTGAAAAATCAAGTGCCTCCCAAATCCAGTGCAGATCTTAATTCTTCCACTTAATCAAATCAGGTGTGACTATTCCTACAGGTTTTTTGTTAGCACTGTCTCCCAGGAGAATGCAGTGGGTGCAGTTTGCTCTCTGTCTTTACACAGACATCTGTCCCAGCAGAAGCATTCATGTCCAATTACAGACATTCAGTAAAAGGCATTTCACTGGCAGAAGCAAATTTTGGTAAGAATCAGTGATGTTTGGGTATCTTTTATCTTATTAACCCTTATGTTTTTAGAGCAGATCTTCCTGCTATTTCAAAACATTCAGAATTTGTTCTGCTAACAGATATACAGTGACCAAGCACTGGGTTTTACCTGCAGTTAGTGTTCCATTATATTTGTTCAGACAGTGTCCACATTAAAAGCAGCCATCCAAACCCCAAAGTAAAGAAAAAAAAAGGCACATAAACATTAAATATTTGTAGGAGAAACAATCTGCTATAAACAAACACAGCTGCGACTATAAAGCACAAAAAGAAACAAACTAAGCAAAAAATGCAAAAAAGCAACTCTATTTATACATGTGCAAATCAACTTGCATATATGAAATAAATGAGGTTTTTATTGGCATTTTTAAACAGTGTGTATTTACCAACTTTACCTTTCAAAGGCAAGCCATAATTTTATGTTAATAAATATGTAAATGCTTCTCTCAAGTTTTCTAATCTCATAGGAACAACATTTTTTGAAAAAACTAGGTCACATACAAAAATACAAAATTTTAAAACAAAGAATGTCTTGATATGAGAGTTATGATTAAAAGCTTGTAAAACCTTCTTCTATGCAACTTTTGACATTTTTCCTCCCCCACCAACCACCGGTCAATATATTCCACTGCCAAGTCATGCAGAAACCTGATTTCAGAGCAGAAGGAGCTGCAGGCCTTACCGGTGGACTGAGCTCTGCGGCCTGGCCCCACCTCAAGGACCCCAAGTGGAATATTGTGACTCCACCTTTACTCTTTCACTAGGAAGGAAAATAGTTCTGACACTTGGACAGAAGGCTGGCCTCTGTTCTAACATGGGGATTTTTTACACGTTACTACATTGTTCAAAACTGTAGTAGTCCCACCTGGATTTGCCTGAGTGCTTATCTGCAGAAGGGCTCTGCATGATTTACTGATGCATGGGCAACACTGCTCTGTGATGGAGAGTGAAACATCAGCACACTACAGTTTGTTCACTCACAGTTCTTAGAGGGTCTCTTCTACAGAAATTTGATTGAAGCTGTATTTCATAAAAGTAACACTTCTGAAAGAAGAGGTCCAGCTACTGTGTTTTAAGTTAACTACGCAGGCCTGTGAGACTACTGCTCTTGATTCTTTTTTCTTCAAGATTAAGGACTCATTCTCTATAGATTTCAGTGGAAATAGAATCAGACCCAAATGATCCTGAAACCGGATTTAGATATCCTGTCCCTGGCTGAAATGCCAGCGGCACCAGTGTTTGCTGTTTCACTTTTGCCAGTATGCGGTAATTCAGCTCAGTAGGCTAAGAGAGAAATAGTGCTACAGCATGAAAAAAAAAACAGCTTATAATAGACTCTCCCTGCTGTGGTAAATGCAGACTTACCATTGAGCAAAGCACTAGACCAGAAAATCTTATAATAACAAATACCAAAACCCTCCCCATCTATAAAAGCTTAGAGGCAAAATAAAATGCAATATGCCATGTGGACCATACAGCAGTGGGAGTCAAGCAAATACGTATTTACAGCAAGAATTACACTGCAACAAAAACTACGTGTTTTGCATTTGTAAGTGCACACATCCACATCTTTGTTTCCGATGTAATTCTCTGATATGTCATTCTGAATTAAAATCCTGCCTGAGGAACCTCAGGCTGAACTAGGAGAGACAAATCTCTGCTGTTGCCCCCACATTCAGCACCAGGTAGAAATACACACTGCCAGTAATATACAGGGCTTTCCAGTTGCATAAATATGCACAGCTATGTGGGGAATAGGTGATATAAACACAAAATGAACTGTTGCATCTGCTCAGACCCATTTTGAATCCTCCTCCAGCTCTGCTGGGGTATTCAAACTATTGCAAACTACGCTTCTGTTGACTGAAGCAAATGCTGAGATATGCTAAGAGTAAGAATGCTCATACTAGTTGTGTTTTTTTTCTCACACAAAATGTTTGCCTCATTAAAGGGCCCTGTTATTCTGCTTTTGGAAAATTACTCTAAGATACAGCAGATTTTTCCTGGCATCCCAGGAACTTCAACATTCCCACACAGCCTTGTGGCCGCCCAACAGCCTCAGGATTACAGTCCTGAGTTCTCAGCAGTCCTATGTAAGGAGTGTTACAGTGTAACACCATCAGGAGTGCTGAGGCAGGAAACCAATTGGAAAAAAGTAATTTGCTGTTTTCACGTTGAAACTTAACAATTTTTGGCTCCCTTGTTTTAAAAGTTTATCCAGGATTAAAAAGCAGTTCCCTCCAATGGTCTTTGGTAGGTCAAGAGATGGGAAAACAAAAGTATCTATGCTTTTCATGGCTACTCAGTAACGGTCATTTTCATGAAAAAAACCCTTCATGCTAATGGAGTTTTTTCCAACACAGAAAGAACGCGTTCACGTCCCAAAGTGCTGACTATGACTGCTTTCAAAATACACCACGGACTGGTTTCTCACTGACCTTAGCAAATTGTTTCCTGTCTACAAATGGTGCTGCCAAGCGTGCCACCTTCTGCTGAGAAGAACCATAGTTACCTCTACAAAAAGAAAGTGGTGTCAAAGATTTAATGTGCTGCTTCAAAGGAAGTTTGAATTCAAACTCTTCAATTTTCTCAATTTATGACTGGTGTGCCTGTTAAAAAAAAAACAGAAAAGAAAACCTAAAAAACACCAAAACCCTCCTTCCCTCCCCAAGAGAAAAACAACCAAAGCACCCACAAGATCAGTCAATACTTTTCTTAGCAGTTGTCTCCTCTTGTTCTTCAGAAAAAAATTCTCTTTAAAAATCTAGCTAGTTATGAAGACATTTTACATTTCTACCATACAATAATTATAGTTAGCTTAGTTTAACCTTTCTATGTCATTCAGCAACACTTTAACTACTGGAAGGCGCAGCAAACTGAGGCTCTAACAATAATATTGCTCCAAAGATGCTGAATACTTTTTGCTTCACACAGTATTTCTAGTAGACAGACTACAACAGAAGCATGGGCAAATTCCAAGGATTACTTTCTAAATGGGACCAGTAAACTGACAAGTCCATCCCTAAAAAGGCAGCGTGTCTTTGAGGCTTTTCCACACTGAAGAATGCCCCAACCCAAGTTGGCTGTCGGGTCACACACTGCCTGCTTGCTCACTCATAGTACTTTCTGTTCAGACTGCTCTGGTGCAGCAGCCGTGATGCAGACAATACTTTGTATACAAAACTTGAACAAAAAGGACTGGGCCCAGATAACCCAATTGCAGAATATAGAGCTATCTTGTGATTCCAAATTCTTGTGAAGTAAACCACTTTGTAGCCATTCAAGACAAAGCAGTACCCAAAACAGTGCATCTATAATAAATTGTAGTCCTCCCCCCCTCCACCCCCCAGCACACTTTTTTCAATTTTTTATTGGAATGATGCTGAGATCTTTTTGCTAACCATGACCAGGGATGTTCAAACTCATTGAAAAATAGAAAACACTTCACCCAAACAACAAAAAAGTAGTTTGATGGGCCTGGGAGTTTTCTACAAACTATTCTGTGCAGTCATCTTCAAACCACTGGAGAACACGAAACTCATTTCTCTTCGCAAACAGATGAAGCAATTTGAAGAGTTGCACTGCAAATGTTCTTATAGGAAAAAAGATCAGTTAGCTGTTTGCTATCAATCCCTCCTCTCAGTAGATAATTCTGCCCAGCAATAATAGCTCTGCCTGCAGCAAAAAAACCTGGACAGAAGTGCAGGAATTAATAAGTAGCTCCTCTCAAAACTACTTACATTTTGTCCTATACTCAAAAGAAGCCCTGCTGCTGCTATAGGCAGTCTTTACAAAGCGCAACCTGTCCCTTAATGTAGTCCCTGCATGGGCAGATTCTTCTGTGGGTCGGGTGGGATCCAGCACAGCTGAACAGTAAGAGGTCACCTTGGAAAACACAGTGCTTCCTTCTTCCATCAAAAGAGGGGACCACAATATCATTTGCAGACTCAACGGTGAGACATTCGATGTTATGCCTAAAAAGGAAAGCAAGCCATCAAAAGTGGAGTGGAGTTTGCAGGAGTTGAGTACACAGTTTTCATCCTTGCTCACCACGGATATAATACTGCACTACAAACTAAGTTAAGATCAGAGATGCAGGTTTTCAGACACTAATTTCTTTTTGCTTGCACAGATTCTCTCTGCAGAGGGCAGCAGAGTCTTTTCAGCATTACTTCGTGTCTTAAAGATTAATGAGAGAAGTTAAAAAGGGAAAAACATTATTCCTCAGATCTGATGTTTTAGTATACAATGGATTTCTAGTAAGACAAAACCAAAGAATCTGAAAGCAGGAGAAAGTTTCATTGATTTGAGCACAAATCACTGCCAGGCAAACCAAACCACGCCAGGCATCCCGGGCAGCCCGATGTGAGGCTGAGGTGCTGGTGCTGTGCTGCAGAAGAAAGGAAAACTCAAGTTGCCATTTTCTGACCACAAAGCTTAAAAGTATGAAGGTAGCAATTCCAGCAGAGTCTTTTTTCCAATTATTCTGGAAACAGTGGTGGCTTTAGAAGTAGAATTTAACAGACTTTTTGTCCACAGAAACACAATTTTGTCTAGATAGCTAGAAAAGAACAAGAGCTTGACAGAAACTTTTCATACGTGAGCTGCTTCTGTACTCTGCTGGAAATTACAACTTTTCAAATAAAATATAAAAATAAAATCTGTCTACAAAGAATATAGAAAAAGGTGAAGATGGAAAACCTGTAAGGCACACTTGCTAGCAGCCATTTTGCAGCCCAGCATTTGAATGCTTTGCTTTCATTCTGAAAGGAACACAGGCATGTTCCCAAAGAAATGGCACCTGAAAGCAGCAATAATTTCCTTAATGCATAGCTGGTAAGCACTATAAAGTGGTACTAATACCTCTAAATGCAGCAGGGATCAGAAATCTTTATATCCAGGATGCTACTGACAAAGGCTTGCAGAGATGGCACTTGGAATCGTTAATGAATATATGTTTCTCAGTGTGGATGTTAATCGTAACCAAAGAGAGAGCTCAATAAATGAAAGAAAAGCAGAACGAGGCACTGCATTTAAAATCATGCAAGTAACTGGTGGAAATCACACAATGTGCAGAGAGTTTTTTATTTGCTGCAACAAAAGATTTAATTTTTGAATCATTCCCTCCACCGCACTGCCAACCACGGCTGGGATTAGTGCAAGGCACCATGCCATTCACTTGCTCTCAGGAATATATAGCAAAAGTAATACAGAACAGTGCACCTGCTCAGCCAAGGCTGTAACATGCCCAAGTTTTACAAGCTCACTCAAACACAATCATAGTCCTGGCATCTATGATACTGCAGAATAAGCATCTCTGCTTGTTGCAAGCAACTCCATACCAAAGGGCAGCGCAGCGTGCAGAGTGTGCACATAGGAGGTGGAGGGAAGGAGGAAGAGCTGTGAGTTTTTGGCTTGGTGATTGCCTCTGTGCTGTATTCCTCATTGCAAAAACACATGCTGCATGGAGCAGTGCTGTGGGCACGGCAGTAACTCCAACCATCCACTGCTGTGAAGGATGGACTGCTGGCCTCACGGGTTGCTGCTGCCAAAACACACAGTGCCTCTCAACACCTCCTCTGCTCACAGAATCCGTGCACTAAGCACCTTACATGGCAAAAACCAGAGCTATAGAAAGAGACAAATAATATGTTTGTGCTTTTGGGTACTTACTTAAGCAGAGCTTTGTCCTTGTTAAGATGCTGGAAGAAGGAAGGCTCGCAAATGAGCTGGCTTTCCTGACAAACTTGTTTACAGGATTTTCCAGGTTCAGCAATTTTCACTTGAAGGGCACTTAGTGGGGGCCACATCACTTGCCCATGACAGAAATCCTGCAGTGACAGACAACATTTCATTGTGATGAATCCAGTGTCTCATTAGCAATTTTCTCCATTAATAAAGTAAGTGATTATTATTACAAACACTCATTTAGAGCTCAGAGTGGTTGCACTAAAATCACTATGACAGAGGATAAAAAGAATTTTTTGAGTGGGCGAATTGCCACCTTTGCTAGTTGAAATGGGGTGGTACCAAAGCAGTTTCTTTCCCACCTTTAACTAATCACAAGTATCTGAATCTCTCTTTACTTCCACATACCCAACCCATATTGGCTCTGTGACTCCTGTTCCACCAGCTCCTGCTAGCAGAACTATTTTGGTAGCAGCACAAAGTCTAGGAGGAAGGTCCAGGGTCAGCTACCATGCGAGTGAGACGTGTCTCTGTGGCAGGTAGTGAGCCATCTGGGCAGGATCAGGGGAAGTCACAGCAACGCTGAGGAAGTGAACTCAAAAGACTGATGATTTCTATAAGGCAACCAGGGTTCAGAGAGTCTGTTTGTTCTCCTTGATTGAGCTGATAGTCAAAGTGCTCTGCGACAATGAAAGAAACTGGCCCTAATACATGCAGTCAAGCGTCATGTGCAGCAAGAGAGGGAAAGAAGAAATGGTATCCAAATACACCTGCTTGCAAAAAAGAAAGTAACAGTTTTTACAGTCTTGGCATTATAAAAGAAAAAAGTAAATAACATTCCATTATAGTTGGCCATTACTTCAGTATTTGGTAACTCTCATCAGTTTGGGCCCACTCCATCACCATCATGGCTTGCCTTCTCCTGACAAAGCAAATATTTGTACTAACAGGTCCCAGACTGTGACCTAGGGCTTAGAAAGACAGAACTACTTCAAAATTTAATGAAATGAAACCTCCAAATGACAACCAATTCTTTTTTTTTTCCTCCTCTGTTTAGATTTGCTCTGCTGAAGCAGGAAGCTTTTGTACCCGCAGCTTTAACCATAAATTTAATATCCTAACTAATTTCTCAAACATCTGATAGCACACAGCAGAAGATCACAGTTAGACCTTATCTGTGTTTTATGACACTTCTTCTGATAAGCAATTTCATATAATCACTGTAAACGAACTGCCAGTTTATGCAGCTGCTTTATTTGATATCATTTTGATGAACCAAAGTAGCAAGAGGCATGTGTACAGAAAGTCATCTAAGTGTGCCAGAGAAACAAAAGTGCTTCAGGCACAAATTGAGAAGAAACAAAAATTCAGAGAGCAAAAGTGATTTTTCATGAACTCCCATTGGGATTTAATTTTTTTTTTTTTTACTCATATTTGTCATTAATAGGTTGCATATATTTTTTTGGTTTAGTGCATTCTATAACATAAAAAGAATAAACTTTCATATTTGAAAAAAATTAATTTTAATGGGTATTTTTGGCAGAATAATTTTACATAAAGCAGGTTAACAATAGATGGTTTAAGGTATTTTTTAATGAGACTGTTTCATAAAGGTTGCTTTGTTATTTGGACTCGGGTGCTCTGCTTATTCTGAACTTTTCTAAGTAAACACTTGATGCAGGAGGGAATTTATCTATTGTAAATATTGGATTCATAGTTTGTGAGGGCAGAAGGCAAAGTTATTCAAAGACAAGGAAATGTCTTGTGAGCCTTTGCCATTTGCTGGAAACTTCAGCTTGTAAAATGTCTTAGTGGAAATATTTCTCTAAATCTAGGCCAACACCAGCCTCCATTTCTGCTCCACAGCCTGGTGGGAAAGCTTCCTCAGCGCTGCTGCCCTCACAGATACCAGCACAGAGCTGTGCTGTCAGTGGCTGGTTTACCTATCAACTGGGCAACCTAAGTTTGGTAACTTTGGCCCAGTCGATCTTGTCACACAACCCCACACACATAACATTAAAATAAATAAATGATGCTATTTAAAACCAAAGGTTAAAGTTCAGCACAGCCTGTGGTTATACACGTTCTACCTATAATCATCATTTCAAGGTGAGGTGGACTTAGCCCATATAACAAGCTGCTGCTGTCCCTGCTCTTCCCTCTAGCTGAATGCCCTCATCCTGTTCTTTTTGCCAGCTTTGGTGCTCAGCTGGGTCAGGTCAGTTTGCTCATTCAGTAGAGAGCAACCACAAGTATTTTCTGCTGGGTTCACAAGTACTCCTCAGCTGGACCACACTTCTCCAGGTCAGCGTGCCTGCTCAGTCAGCCCTGCTTGGCTCATCCAATTGCTCCGAGTTTGCAGCAGGGAATCCTGCAGCTGCTTTGGGAGCTGCTGCAGTTCCCATGCTGACAGCAATGCTGATCTGAGCAGTCCCACCCTTGGGTTTGCATCCTCTGCTGCCCTAGCAAAGCCAACACAACCATCTGTGGAGCCTTGGAGCCAATAGAACCAAGGGACCTGCTGAGCTGCTGGTTGGGCCAGGAAGAAGGAAGAGCCTGGAGTGAAAGCTGGATCAATCTGGCTAATGGAGCATTGCAAAGTGACAACGACAGCTCTCAGCAGCTCTCACTCCAGACCATAAAGACCTTCAGTTCAGCTGCTGGATCTGAAGAAACAGGGAATCCATTATGCCTGCTGTGAGAATACTGTCCTGACCCTGACCCAGGTGGGGAATTACAGACAATTCTTTGAAATCCGACAGTTTCGCTGTCCCATAGGGTGACCTACGTGTTTGTATATCTGCCTTTTTCACATTCACAAATCACCACGTAGACCACACGCACTTATGCTTAACACACCTTGCGACCTGTGAAAAAGACCAGCTCCTTGCATTCAAGGCCAGGCTGAATGAGGCCCCAGGCAACCAGATCTAGTGCCTATTCTATGATATATACATTCCTGTTCAGAGTTTCTGCTTCCTCTGTTCTACCTGTGTCCAACCACAAGCTCTTTAAAACATGGTCTTCACCTCTATTTTTGCTTCACCTGACATGTCAGGCATAGTGCTACGTAAATGCAGGTAATAACAGTACGGAGCATCCTGAAAGCTGTGAAGCAGTAACAGCTTTTCACAATTAGTCAAGCAATGAACAACACAATAATGCTGTATTTAGTTCTGAGGAGGTGTGATAAAGGCAAGGTCTTAACCCTGGGGGAGGTGTAGAGGGCAAAGAAACAGCTTAGCATCTCTGGGGCAATCTCTAAATTGACTCTTTCTTCCACATACTGAGCTCCATACCTTCCTTATTGACAAAACATCTCATTTACAGCTAACTTAGAAGAATCAAAAGAAGCAGAGAGACTTTTACCAGGCTGTGATGTCAGTATAGCAACAAAAAGCATATTGTGTTTGTTGGCAGGAAGTTGGACAGAGCTGTGTTATTTTAACTAAACTTTTGATCTGAAGCCATGTTCTTCTTTATTACTACCTGTAATACTGTCATATTTCAGAAATACAGATACAGGAGCCCACCCAGTGTTTCTGAAAGAAATTCCAGAAGTTAATTGGCTTAACAGAGATATACGTTACTCTTATCACTCTTCTGCAGCAGGCAGAACAAAAGGCAAGATGTTGGCCTTTGCAGCAGATCTGGCATTGGGCAGAAGTCCAAGCACACATTCAGTTTCTAGAAATCAGGATCTAATGCAATTCTGTCCAGTTTATTATTCCAACTCAATACCTTTTGCTAATCTCAGCATGCAGTAACGCAAAAGTCCTTTAACTTACAGATTCCCAAACCAACTGAATATTTGAAAAAACTTCCAAGAGGTTTTAGCCTAAGTGTAGTTCTACTGCAAAAGCATCTCTGCATTTATTCTTTGTGGTTCAAAGGCTTTTTTTGTATGTGTACACACTGAGAATGCCAGTTGTAAAAGAAGTCACATTGATGCTGAAAAATTACTTTGCTTTTCTACTTCAGTAAGTCAGCAGAAGAAGGTTCTTCACTTAGATATCTGTCTATAGACACATATACATAACAGTTAAAAAAAAACCTCCTTTAGCTCATGAAACACAAACAAGTATATCCACTTTTGCAAAGATATATGGTAAATCAGGCATTCACAGATGAACCAGAAAAGCAGAGTGAATATTCTGGTAGTCAGCACTTTGCCTTCACTGCTCGACAGCCTCTGCATGCACAAAAATCCCACTGGTACAGTATCACATGGGAGCTTCACAAGCCAGTGCACAGGTATCCATGTCTGCATCCAGGTGAACCCCATGGGAACCTCATGTGAGCAAGCAATTGTCTACCAGGGGCTGCACACTGTTTCCACCTCCACAGCAACAACATTAGGAGGCTGTAGAATTGCGAGGGTCCCCCCTTCCCAATGCAAACCATAAGATTCACCCACAATAAAAGCTCATACCTGTCTTTCAATAAATGCATTCATCCTCTGAAGCATTCCCTCGCAGGTAAATTCATAGGGCAAATAAGGGTCAATCTGTTGAAACACAGTGCATTGGGTTAGATGTGTTGTTTTTGTTCAAATGAGCATTGCAGTGCACTGCGGTAGCTGTTTGTATTCCAAAGACCATATAAGAGAAGCAAATATTAACAAATCCCAATTTGACAAAGTCATCAATAGTTTAAGCTGATTTCTTCTCCTTTGCAAAGGCTATAAAAGTTGCTCAATGATTATCTTTAAGGATATGCCAAATACTAAAATTTCAAGGCTTATTGCAAAGTAAGAGATACAAAACTAGCCTGAGACCCTGCTGGATGCTACTTTCAGTCCTGGAATTGAAGTGAAAAACAAAGCATTGAGACAAAAAAGGATGTGATACTTTCAAAAACATCTTCAGTTTTTTTCCCCTTTATTTTCTTCATAAAGTGCCCTCCTAGAATGCCACTCCATAAGTGTCCATGCATTTCAGGGTTAGTTATGTTAAGGCTATTGCATCAGCCAAAAGAGTTAAGCTGGTACTGGGCAGCCCGCAATGCTCTATGAACAGCAAGGAAGCCTCAGTGAACGCACAACATATGTACTGCTTTATGATTCACAATGAATTTGTATAGAAATGTAAGTTTCATCTCACATTTGTTTCATTCAGGTAAGATCCTGATTTACCCATCCTAAATCATGATTATCAGATACAACAGGGATAGAATGACAGCATTTTCCCCCAATAACCTATGAAGCAATTAAACTAACATTATGAGGCAGTCTACTGACGTTCCATGATATACTCTCAAGTGTTGATATCAAATTGAGAATACGTTTCTCACCTTTTGATTCAAAATTGACTTCACAGCCTTCTCCACTTCAGAAAGATCATGGATGTCTACAGTCCAAACGTGGGGCTTCCCAATGTAAACTTCAGCATAGGGATGCTGAGATGTTAGCTGCAAGGAAGAAATGGCATCGTCAAAAATGACGGTGTTAGGATTGCTTTCCCCTCACTCTCTTCACCAGGTTTGGTGAATGAAATACACTAGTAGAATGCAAGAACTCAGCTACAACTGAACAGTAAATTTCATTCCTTCTGAGCTCTCTTTCAGATTCTCCATGTTTAAATTCAGAGAGTGAATTGAGTAGGAAAAGTGAAGATCTGATAACAATGCAGCTCATAAGCAACATTTGTACACTTCCACTTGTGGCTTTGCTTCTCACAACATCTAACATTGCAGAATAATTGCTGCTTACATTAATTCCTGTTCGTGCGACCCAGTCTGCCCTCTGTGTTGGGCACAGCTCCTTCACAGAGCAGTACCAGCTGTCACAGCTTGCCACTGCTGCCAGCCCAGGTTGGACCCGTGTGACTGGCTGCCAGAGCTGGCACCCTTGCCCTGTCTCTCCAAATTTCAAACAGTTCCAAGCTTCTATGAGCAGAAGTGTATAAAAGATCATTTCTATAACTCAGGATGAATTATGACTGCTATTTCTGTTGCTACTTTTACTACAAGCATCATTTGACCTCGAGAGTGTTAACTGCTATTTTGCTCAACCCTTGGTCAGAAAGCAATTTCAATAAATATTCCAGTAGATATCCAAGAAAAGTGATCCCAGAGATGGCTTGTTAGATTCCTCAGCTAGCAGGATGGCACTGCAAGTGAATTTTGTGACAGCTTTCACCGTCCTTGCTCTCTTTCTCACCTAAACACAAGGAGCTACTCAACTGCCTGAGTTCCTAGGACACTTCTGTTTGAACTTTACACTGCAGAAGCTGCATTTCTGTTACTTTTAGTTCCAACAAAAAAATTTTCAACTGTGCCTTTAAAAATACGAGCATAGGCAGTCCTTCAAATTCCACAAAGCCTTAGGAGTCAGGCACTAGACCACTCTTCTATCATCTCAGTAGGCAGAGAACAATGTTACAGATTTGGAAGATGAACAACTGTACTTCCTAGGCTAGTAACTGTTTGAGTATTGAGAACAACCAACAATGTGTTCCTATTGCAGCAGGCATTCTGCACCTGTACTCACAAAAAATTAGAACTATTTCTAATACTGAAATGCTTTAATTAGCTGAGGCTTGATATTTTAGATATTCATCTGGCTATAATTACGACTTATTAGAATACTTCTAAGTAGGTTCAAAATTAATTTCTAATTTGAAGTCCTTTTGCTCCCTAAAAGCAGAAGATTATTTCTGTGGGGAAAGAAACCACACCCATCAAACGCATTTCAACTAGACTTACTTAGCATACAGTGCTCTCTTTTTCTTTTTTTGCAAGGAAGAGAAATGGAGAGGAGCTGCCGGTACAAATACTGGTACCAAAGAAGCTGTTGGAAGGTGAATTTCTCTGTTGTTTTTTTTTTCCTTCCTGTTTCTCTTACCTGGTAGAGTGGAAGCAGGTAACTGCCCACCCCAGATCCGCTGCAAACAAACATGAACTTAGAGCATGAGAAATAGCAATTTGCAATGGTTACTTTACTGTAGAAAATATAGAGTTAATTTTCAAATTGGTCAGTGGATAATCAATTAATTTTCAGAATGACACAAATGTTTGTTGTTAATACTTGAAAAAACTGGTAGACGGATGGCAGAACTTTTTTAAACTCAAGAAATCAGCACCAAGATAAGTGGATCTAAATGCAGTTGTGGAAACTAGTTACAACAAAGGTTGCTTTTATGACAGATCAACTGAGCACACAAATGGAGTAACACCGGTGAAGAACGCTCACGGTATTGTTCTGTACTGAAGCTGTCAGTAGGGATTATTCTTCTGTGCAGGTCAAGTGCACAGTATTCCTGTTACAGCTGACAGATGTCAGCAGGATTTAGCAGAGCATTCCATGCACTAAAACTCCTACTAGAGTTAGGTGGGTCACAAGCAGCCTGATTAGTTTTAGTATTTGGGCACAGAACAACTTTTAGAGAGACAGGTGAGGAACTCAGAAGGAAAGCTCTGAGAGGTGCCAAGTCCAAGGAGAAGGTTCAAATAGCCTTCTTTTCATTACTGCTATCTCCTTTGGTGGTAGCAATGCAAACTGTGGGAAGGGCTGAGGTATGAAGAGCTGAAAGGTACCTACAGCCCTGGCACGCAAACTTATAATCAACTTCTGTTCATGGCTGTAAATAGGAAACTGTCCTTTGCCCCTTAGCTTGCTGGCACTGCTCAGTACACAGTTTATAAAGCCAAAACACAGCATCAGTTAGGAGATACTGCTGTGCAAGCTTCTCATCACCTAAGCATTCCTTCAGATAATATGTAAAGGAAATGCCTATACACATCTATGATGAAGTTATGGTCACAAGCAAAAGACTTGATATCAGAAAAGGCTACGTGACTACTAAATGCTTGCAGGTGTTGTAGGCTTGTGCCATAGCTGGCTGGCTTGCTTAGCCTTGTTCTTCTCTTAACAGAGGCTAGACACCCTGGCTGTTTTGTAAGCTTGAGGTTTAGTTTTCCTTTTATCTCAAATAGTCAGTTCTCCAAATTCATTCTGTTGCTCAACTGCAAATAGAGTGTGTTGTTACCATTAATAGCAGTGCTTAACAGTGCTTGAATAGATTTTTTTCCTGAGAAAAAAAATAAATACAAAAACATATGCAACAATCCTACAAAAGCTGTTCTAAGCATTAAGACATTTATTTAGTTCCTGTGAAGAACACAATAATATGTTTCTTCCACAAAATAAAAATGCTTTCCAGCAACACATCGTATATGACCTGTTCCAGGTCAGAACATCAGCTGTACAAATACAGTTTAGTTTATGGTCTGTGAATAAGAATTAGCAGAACATACACACAGACACAGAGGTAAAGCTTAACAGTATGTGAATAAGGATTGCTCATCCCACTGATGGCTAACGAAAATGACAGTTGTACACATCTTGCAGTAAACTGTGAGCATTTATGCAACTTCTCCTATATTGTGTTACTAAAAAGAAATCCACACTCATTTTCAATAAAGAACCAATCAACATTAACAAAGCTTACCTCTCGGAGTGTTGGCTTGCCTTTGAAAAATTCTGTGTTTTTGCTACTTTTTGGTGGATTAAATCTTAAATTCAGAAAAGCACATCCATTAGCAATAGCCTCTAAAGGAGCAGGCCCTTCATAGGGAAATCCAAGACCAACAAACAACTGAAAAGCAGAAAAGAAGGTCCGTCTCAATGTTTGTTCTTTACAGAAATTGAAAACTAAGGCCTAACACAAAATAAACAATCACACACTCAAAACATACAAGCCTGCAAAAAACACTAAGAAGAAAATGTGATTCAGCAGCTCACTCCCTCATACTCAAGCAGTAATGGAATGTCCTGTCAAACACATTTGACAATAATCTTCTGTAATGAACTAAGATGGCTTTTCATGTAGCTGAGGGAACAACAGACCCTTTCAGTTTTCTTTTTTTTTTTTTTTTTGGGGGGGGGGGGGGGGAGCGAAATCATTTGGTGATTTGATCGAAATTCAAATGAAACTCCTGAGCTGTCTAGCACGTACAAGTTTTAATGCAGCAACCGCACTGAACAGCCGCAGTACTGTTTTCTCTCTCTCACACACCAGCTAACTTGCTGAACATGAACACTATCCTGGCAAGCCGGTTGAGTCTAATTAAAACGGTAGGTGGCAGCAAACATCAACTGAAGACACTAGTCAGCAGAGGTTTGCAAAGGATTAAATGGATTCAACGCCCCAAGGTACACTGCAGGAGGTAAACTGCATCGCAAAGCTATTCCTATAGTCAGCTTCACCACAAAGCTATTCTTATTGTCAGCTGAGATGACAGGTGCTCTAGAAAAAGCAGTGTTTTTCCTCAATGTGAAGAAATCTAGTATTTTGTCAGAATTGCAAGCATTTACTTGTATCTTGATCCCTTTCTTGGCCTAGCATAATTCCTGAATTAAATGATTTTATTTGAAAGTATAATGGGAGAATGAAAAGCTCTGATGATAACAGCAATGTCTCAGCAATGCTTGGCAACCTTATGTACATACATATGTGTTTATATAGCTACTCATTTTTTCAGAATGAAAGGGAATCTTTGTAACTGTTAGAATACTGGAATTCATGTATTAGAATTGTGATCAGAACCATGCATTCAAGGAATTCCAATGATACTTTTCTACTTTGTTTTCTGCAGCATAGAAATGAACAGCAGACTCACATTCCAGGAGCTAACCTTACCTCGATACACAGACCTGTAGTCAGTAGTGCTGTGCACAGGTGTTGCAGCATTGGCCCTCTCTGACCCACGACAACAGTATTTTTCTAGGTTGGCCATCCAAAAAGAAGGTTTACCTCACCTTGTTTGAGAACGTACAATTTTCACAGCATGGAGCTGAATGTTGGTTCTTCCGTTTTCAATTTTCAGTTTAAAAAAAGTCATCCACTTGCACAACGCTTCTCAGCCATCTTGCTGAGAAATCTTACAGGAAATGCTCCAGTAGCTGATAAAAAAAGATCTGAACAACAATTTCCACCAAAGCTGGATTGTATAAATTTGGGCTTTATATGTGGTATAAGATATATTATCTTACAGTTAAAAAAAAAAGGAAAAAAAAAATACTAAATTTCACATCAAAAGAGGTTTAATTTAAAGGAAGGAAATCTTTTGAAAATACTAAATTAGATGTGAAACTATTTCATACAATCTGCACGCAGGATGTTTGGCTTTTTGTAAAACTACTCCTTAGCTTAGGCAAAAAACCAGCTGAGAACCAGCAATTAGAACCATCTGAAGCATCAATTCTCCTACAATCCTGTGTTTGCCTGTTATGTAGAGAATGCAGGTTTGTTTCATTTTTCACTTTTTTAATAAGCTGCTGCTGTGCACTGTTGAACAGTTTTGTGTCTGACTGGTCCGTTTACTTAGGAGGAAGCTCCATGGGGAAAGAAATATGTTTTTATGTTTTGACAGCACAGAGCACACAGTCAACACTTAATTTATAATAAATAGCCTACCACCTGTTTCATATCAATTTTCAAGCCTTACTTCTAAGCAGCACCATACCTTTGAAAAAATAAAGGAAGATGTTCCTCTAGCTCCCATAAGGCTGGAATGGTGGCCTGGTGTGCGTTGCCTGCTGGCTCAGGGCCTCACACTGCAGCCCGGCTCATTCTTGCCTGCAGCCCCCAGCTCCTCCTTTCAGCCCCCCTAGCTCTTTCAGCACTCTCCCTCACATCATCTTCATTAGCTCAGCTCAGATCCCCAAAGTGAATCTACACCCTGCTGCTGGAAACTGGCCTTACTGATGTTCCTTGCTTAGCGTGAGATAAAGACTGTGTGGAAGAGAAGGCTTTCACCCACAAAACAACAGAGATTTAGGACAGACTATATTTCTACATGTTTGTGACATAAAACAACACTGCTGTCTCCACACAGGGCTCCTGACCACGGCTCTCTTCCCACATGCTGGGCCTGTGCAGACCCGACTGCTTCACCTTGTGGCTGCAGCTCCATAATGAAAAGCTTCACATTTGAGTGTATAGGCAGTGTGACTGTGGGCACACCCTGGAAGGCCAGCCTTGATCTTGACTTGCTAGCTGGAGCAAAACTGCTATGCAAAGTAGAATTCCCTTATCCATCACTGGTAAGTTAGTGCTTGAAAGCATTTCATTCTGTATGTGAGCATTTTTCTCAACTTCAAAATGTTTTTGAAAGCCACACCATCATTATTCACGCATTTCTTTAAGTGGGCACATGCCACAGTAGGCAGTGTATGCTTATACCATATGTAACGAGAAGATTGCCAGAAGGAGTTTACAGTATAAAAGTATATCTACAGGAGATAACAGTAAGATAAATACAGATGTAAAATGATTATTAGCATCATTTTTCTTTCGCTTCCTTTTTTTAAACCACTTCCTTGTTTGCAAGGTCTGGTACCCATGTGCACCTGCAAGTCTGCACAAATCAAAGACGAGGATTCAGATCTGCAATCTCACTTGCACAACTTAAACACACAGGTGTTGAAACCTTTACAGGAGTACTTTGGTTTATCATAAGGTAGGCTCTTCAGAAACCTTTTCTGCCTTTGCAGTGAAATGAACTCCTGCTACAGAATTTCAGGCTCTTGAGCTGGCCAGTGAGCATCACGGCACCCAAAACACCACTTCTCTGATCATAATGTCAGCATTTCTGTCATGGTGCAGTAGCTAAATGGAGACTTCTCTGGCATGATATCTGACATGACAAGTACTTTGCAACCACTGCCATGACAAGCAAATTTAAATTATGCATTGTTTGAAATCAGTGACTTTCAGTTAACACTAAGCAATTTATCCATGGAATTTACACCAACATATTGGGCCATTATTAAAATGAGTACTTGAATAAATAATCTAAATTATAGCCCTAAGTATAAAACTAGAGCTGAATATTTTAACCGTATAATCCTGAACGGGGGAACAGAAATATTTCATATTTCAGAGACTAAGTGCTGCAGTTCCATGAACAGGAGTGTTTTGTGTTTCTCTATTCTTCTTCCCCTCCTAGCATCGGTGCACTTCATCTCATTGAGTCTGTTGGGCTGGTAGTTCATTGTTGCTTTTGTGTGCCTATTTACTGGACTATTTTGTATATTCTCTTCTGAACTATGGAAAGAAGTACAGCAAAATCTGTAGTTTACTATCTCAATACATTTTCCTCATTAATATAAAATGCCTTCTGAAAATTCTGTGATTGAAATATCTTCACAACATATTCGCTTTTTAAATGGCTATTCAGCTGTATTTTGATGAGTCTGGAAGTGAAAAGTATATTACTTCATAAAAGGCAATATCAAAAAAGGTTGAAGTTCATTTTCCTATTTATGCTTATCACAGAATCACAGAATGGCCAGGGTTGGAAGGGATCTCAAGGATCATGAATCTCCAACCCCCTGCCACATGCAGGGCCACCACCAGACCAGGCTGCCCAGGGCCCCATCCAATCTGGCCTTGAACACCTCCAGGGATGGGGCATCCACAGCCTCTCTGGGCAGCTGTTCCAGCAGCTCACCACCCTCTCTGTAAAGAACTTCCCCTGACATCCAACCTAAATCTCCCCTCCCTCAACTTAAAGCCATTTCCCCTTATCCTGCAGTTATCAATCCTTTCAAAGAGTTGATTCCCCTCCTGTTTGTTGGCTCCCTTTAGGTATCGAAAGGCTGCAATGAGGTCACCCCACAGCCTTCTTTTCTCCAGGCTGAACAAGCCCAGCTCCCTCAGACTGTCTTTGTAGGGGAGGTGCACCACTTTCATTAACTGCCATTCCGAAAGCATAAATGACCGTTTAGTAGAAGAATTTGGGTTCCCTCAAAAAATTTGCAAGAACAGGGAGCACAAAGTTGCATCTGAAACTTTCTCAAAAGGAGGAGTGTTTCTCAAAATCTCAGTGCTGGTTCTCTCAGGACAGCCTGGTGCCAGCCCAGCTGTGAGCAGAAGAGTTGGCATGGAGGCTGCATCTTGCCTCCTTCTGTTGATCTGAGATGCTGAATGGCTCCATATCTTCTCAGGAATTGCTGCATCTCTGCAGCTTGTCATACACCACACAGCTGAACTAGTCAAGATGGACGTTGAGTAGCACCCCCTGCTTGTGAAGCACACTTATGCTGAAATGTATGGCTTTGTGATGTGCTCTAGGAGAAAATGGCAGCTGCATGCTTCTGAGAATAACTGTGTCCTATACTAAGTACCAAATATGAACAAAAGCCTTGTCTGTGCTGTTACTGTTGGAATTTTCTGTTTAAGGGCAAAATAAAGTGCTGAAAAGTAAGCTGACAGGTGTGGGTCGCTGCAGTTGGGTGACTTGTTGAAGTATTATTTAGCTCTGACTTTCTAAAACTAGATCAACTGCAAACTGACCTGACAAAAATGTGCTACCACAATGTTGAAATCATATACGATGAAAGAATCTTTGCCTTTGGATCTTGAAGTGCATGTTTAGAAAGAGAAATCAAACAGTTTTTGGAAGCTTAAAAGGAAAGTTTGTTGCTTAGAGACAGTGAGCAGCAGGCTAGATGGCTCAAGTGAGTTCTGCACGCACACGTTGCCAGCAGCGAGGTACAGCTCCTGTTGTTCATGGATTTTTAGCACACTGATTGTTCAGTGACAAAAACCTTAACTAAATTCATTATGGGGCCTGGTCACGTTGCCTGGCAATTAAAGTGATTATGATTAAAAAGTGTCCTTGGACATCACTGGATGCGTGTGCACACTCACAGGAAGCTTCTTAGGGCACAATGCTCCCTTTCAAGTCATCTTGATTTCTGTGAAAACCCCGCACTGACGCTAGCAATTCAATGCCAGGAACTATTGATATCAACATGATGAATTCACAGATGTAGCAGATGGCCAATGGAGACAGGTGAATGGTGCTTTATACTAGGCTATGTTAAAATGTTGTCTCAAAGGAGATCAGAATCAGAAACTGTGAATGTACAGGCAACAAGACGACTTAGATCAAGTGTGTAGATTAACACTAAGAATCAACCATATGCTAAAGCAGAAAAGCCATGGAACCGATAAGATGCTAAACATCAGTTAGCAAAAACTAAAATAAAACCCCAAATACAAAATCAAACAGGTCCGACTGAAAAAGTGCAATTCGATTAGATGATAATTCTCAGCTTCCACTTTCAGTATCAGATGCCGCTGTTTTTATCTTGAGCTAGATATATTGGATCAAGAATTATACAGGGGTAATAACCAAAATTGATGGTGCAGTAAGACATATTTCTTTTCATTATCAGAACTACACTGCACTCTGATTTGTCTGACAATAAAACAAACTAAGTATTAGGAGAATTGGATAGACTCCTAACTGCGTATTATCAGGCTAGAGGTTTGTTGGCCTGGTTACATCTTTCAATTTTTCTGAACCACATCAGTGTGCGTCTTGGCCATCTGATAAAAAGAATGCAGAACATTTTGAAAGGATATTCCTCAGTGTTAGGAGAAAAGCAAACCGACAATGCACAACAGCATAGAAAATCAAGTGCCTGTAGGACTCTGAAAAGAGTAGAGATTGAATCCACACTTCTCACAGAAATTCAGTTTGTGAGAAATAAACAACTTGCTGATCACAGGAGTACCTTGCCTCCATAAGCTAGTATCCTCCATTGGATCTCACTAGTCAAAGTATGGAGTAAAACTAGACTTGCTACTTCCAATCATAAAAGCCTGTGCTTAACTGTAAAACACACATTTTGAATTTGTCCTAAATTATATCTTTATGTTGCATCTTAGCACTGTTTGTTTTTTGTTTTTTTTTAATTATAAGGACACCAGTAATTCTGCAGGAAACTCATTAATTTAGTTTACTATTCCACTCAATAGAATGTATTTGTTTTTCCACAAGAAGTCATTGTTTGTGCTTGGGGTTATTACAATGTCAAAATTCCACCCACATTAGTAATTGTGGTTAATACAGTGATTTCATACTCCACGAGGGTGAAAGCTGTGTAATCTCAATATTATCTGTCATGAATGTAAATGTTGACTTTTTAATCTGCAACATTATGTGTATCTGTATGTATGAAGTACATACACCCAGTGGTTGCCTTTAAAATGTCATAATTTGCCAACAGTTGTCACGCAGAGATGTCAAATTACCATCATTTCCCCCAGCATTCAAAAGGAGTTCTCTACTGTTATGTGGGAAGACTGGAAAATGCTTTTGCTTTTCTTTTTTAATAGATTCTTCTGTGGAAGTGCACAGCAAGAAACCATCAACAGTGGAGATTAAGTTCTATATATTTTGCTAACTTTAAACACACAACCCCATTTATTTCACCAACCGAAAGCTAAACATTCTATTTAAATGTAATATACTAAGCATCTCAGTGATGTAAAATGTTCCACAAGGATTATGGGAATGGCAATGAAAATCCAATAGCATTCCAATTGCAGGGACAAAAGCTTATTTATTTAAGTGTACACATTGCCCCTTATCTTGACCTCCCTTGACTATGAAGCCACAGGCAAAGCATACCACAAAAAGCACACTCATCTGCTCTCTCTTGTCTCCGCACAACTGGAGCAGAGAGAAGGAAATGAATGGAGAATGAGGGACTTGCCTTTATTCTTTTCCTCCCTACAGAATGGGGTCAACTTCATGTTAAAGTCATTGGTAGGGCAGAGCAAGCATTCCTGTTGTACAGCTTTCATATAACGCTTAACTTTCACATTATGGATCTAAAACAAAGTATTTCCTCAGCTGATAATCTCTTTGAGCTGAATACAACATTTGGGAAAATGAAACATGAATTTAGCCACGTTTTTCAAGCTCCTTGTTAAATGTATCTCCTAGATTGTCCCAATTTTCTAGTAATAGCTGTCAATCCAAAAAACACGGGCACAATCACAAATATGTTATTAGCATATGGAAGAAAATTAAATCTCTTTTTTATTGGATCATTTATACTTCCAGTACTTTAAAATTAGGAGCACAGTTGTAGGAGGTGAAGTGCACCGTACTTCATGTACGTGATGCAGAGATACTGTCTCTCTTTACCTATTTTTGCTATTTCTCCTTGACAAACTTACCTTGGTTTCTCTCAGTAGAAACTGCAGATCCCGCCCACTGAGTATACCATGGTTTTTTACATAGCCAGGAATATAAATCGTGCTTGTCCCATGAACAGTTCCATGGACTTCCATATAGGTATGAATAACATCCAGATAAGCCTTCTTGTCCTGTAATAGCAACAATAAAATATTTTGAGGCTTTACACATTTCAAACAGAGATCAAGATCAGATACCAAAATGACAGAAAGGGAAGAAGTTTCTCATTCTTACATTTTCTTGCATGATTCCTCATACGATCACTCTTACATTTTCTCTACGCGACTCATATAATATCCAACCTTTCATTAAATTTTTAGTTTTCTTTTTTATTAGTTTCCAAAAAAAATGCAGCTTTAATATTTGTAATATATGTAATAAATAAATACCAAGGTTCTATTAATTTCTAACTGGATAAAACATAGGTCACCAGGTAGTTGTACAGTCAGCACTGCCTAAACAGTACTTGTCTTCAAATCGTGAAAACAAAAAACAGTAAAAATCCCAAAACAAGAAAAACTACAAATGACTCATTGTGAAATATCAAATTGTCACTCTGATTTTCTTGGAGATGTAACAAAATAATTGTTCACCTTCTTTGTGAAGAAAAGCTCGAATCTCACCTTATAAGCTACGCTCCTGCCAAATGATACATACTCTTACCTAAATGTGTAAAATCTGAGTCTCATGACATACCTGTAAATACTCCAATTACCTGAAGTTTAAGAAGCACTTTGGAAAACACCCAGAATAAACGGATTCATACTGTTGCATTAAACAAAATAAAAAGCCCACAAGAAAACAGTATACATCCTCATTTGCAAACAAGAATTACTTTTAATTTTCAGTACCATATGTTTTTTTGAGTTTTAAAGACTGCTAGTATTCCAAAAGCAATTAGCTAAAGACTGTATTTACAGCCAGTATGCAGCAGAGATCAGAGAATTCCCCTCAATATTTGCACATAGTCTTAGTAATAACTCTAAAATTAGGCAACAAGTTTCTTAACTTCCTGGCAGCAAGACAGTGTTTAAGAAGTCTACTTCAAATCACTACTTTTGTCATGTAAATTCTGTGCTCCATTCTTCACAGCCCTATGTGATAGCTGGCAACAATTTTACCGAAGTTCATTCAAAGGGCAAATTAACTGGGAAAAACCTGTCTTTTCAATTCTTGGAGAAGCAATAAGGCATCAGGCCTGGATGAATGATCATCAATACTTCCTAGAACATCCTTCCTAAATGAACTGCTGATATACATTCAAATGCACAGGTTATTTAATGTCACGTAATGACCAGCTTCTTGCTTTTGCTACCTCTGCTGCTAGGACTGTATTTGATGAAGTGAACTGCCTGTGTCATTACTGAATCACTCTGTCCTGGTAGGTCGGCCAAGACTACACCATTCAATGTCCTGTGTTAAGCATTATGCTAAATAGGCAACAAATGGAGACAAAGGGTTGCTGTTATTTGTTAATTAATACAAGGCATTTTTTAAAAAATAAGCTTTTTGCTTCTATTTCAAATCTGAAAAGATGTTCCTCCCATTATTAGTAAAATAAAGTAACATCATTCGAAACTTAGAGAAGCTCATGCATTTTGTTAAAAGAAAATCAATTCCAAACTTTGCATTCTTTCTTACACCTCAAGTCTTGGCTATTTTTGGAGTCAGAGAAGATAAATCTTCGATCTGAACTAGTTCTGCTGCCACCTTCTTCTTACCCATTATCTCATTTTCAAAGACTAACATAAAATGGACCGATACAATTGTCCCGTTTTCACCTCCTGCTTCTATATGATGACAATAAAAATCTAGAGGGTTTCTGAGAAACACCCGTGATGTCCATCACAAATTTTGCTGGAAACACTCTTTGGTGCATATAATGGACATTGGATTCATCCTAAAAATATTTCCCAAATCACATGTTAATAACAAAGTAAATATTCCTACTGTGTTTATGTGCCATCTTCTAAATTCCAGCAACTGCTTGCTACAAAACGAGGAATGCAGGGTTAAAGAAGGATACATAGGATGAAAAGAGTGGGCTTCCATGCTGTATTTACAGTTGCGCTTTTTGGGGAGTAGGGAAGGTCTTAAATGACAAAACAATTCTAAACACTTAGAACAATGAATTAGAAAATAAGAAAGCATAGGTATAGCCTTTAGAAATACAAGGACTGCAAGTAAATAAGGAAATGTGATGTGCAAACAAAATAAGAGCATTCCTTTCATTGTTAAACCACTTCCTGAGTTTGTTTGCTTGAGTATGGATTTAAATTTTCTAAATTTAAATTAATCCTAAAAAAATAGAAGTAAACTCCTGATTTTTACTTTACCTAAAGGTAATTCAAAGAGGACCAAAGAAATGCAGAGATTATGATCATGGGCTGCTGGCTAGTAAAGCAATATCAGACTGCTCTTCACAGACTGGGTCAAGCTGCATTATTCACTATATTCACTCTCTGCAATGCAAAACTTAAGAGCATGAAAGATTATTGCATCAAAATAGAGCAAATTATTTCTCCTCAGAATCAAAATGGAAGGGTAGTGGTAACAAACAGTCACACAAGTTCCTTCTGAAACAAGTTTTTAGCAGCTAAGATAAATTTGCCATTCAAGAAAAGCATATTTGTTGATCACTGAGTGAAGAACTGTCATTACCATACATCAGTTATTTCCACCTACCTTCAAAGGCATTGTAAGGCCTTTCTCATCAAAGCAATCAAATGACAACAGGCTGATAAGTCTTTCCATAAGAAAATGCTGGCAGCAAGGTGCAGCATGAAGGGCTGAAATTTTACGTTTGGCGCATCAAAATGTAAAAGCATAAATGCAACAAAAGTATATGGCAGAAACATGATGCATGAAGAACTAAACTCTGCTTTTTTCTTGTCATGATAAAAGACACCCACATATTACTTTGTGATACACTTTGTCAGTGTAAAGTAACATTTTTGCAATTTTAGACCATTTGAGTAACCTCACGGAACATCAGAAATTCAGCAAGGAACAAAACCAACCACCGCATGCACAGAACTGCAGGCTTATTACATTACACAAATCTTGATTCAGAGTCCCAAACCAGATGAAGGGGTTGAAAGTTCAAACTGTAAAAGAGGCCTATAACCAGTTCCATCTTCAAACAATGAAACAAGTCAGAACACAATTATTTTTACACAAGTTGAGAAACATAATACAGAGAAGTAAGAATTACTGGAACAGTTCTTTGTGTATTTCCTAAGTGCATACTGTTAAGTCTCAAGGTTCAAACACCAGAGTGCTTATTTGCTAGAAGTCCAAGGTCAGCCAAAACCCAGTGGTATGTTCAAAGTGCATAACTGAGCCTGACACAAGCATAAGATGCTTAAGAAGCTTTGAAAAAAAATCTTCATTTTTGCATAAGATCCAGATTAGACCATGCTTAGAAGATAGGTCTTAAGAGATCTCAAAAACTGGTCAAGGGATGCTTTATCAATAGGCAAGCAATCAGATAATTCCCTGGGATGAAAAAAATCCAGAAGGAGAGAGAATATGTAAAGGAAGTATTATATAACCTTGCAGAGCTTTCGTGCTCCCTGAATGTCTGTTTATGAACCTCTTGTTAGGCACTCGCCTCAAATACCTGTACAAAACATACACTGGCACGTACATAGATAGTATTTGTTTGCACATATATAGATACATATATATATTTGCATAAGGAATGAATAAAGCACTTCAATAAACACCAGTATTTATCTATGTCACTGATCATTTCCTCCATTTATTCCATAAATTTTTTTTAAAATTACATTATTATTTTTATCAGTGAGATTTTTAGAAGATTTGCCAATTTCATTGTTATCCAGTGCTTATTAATGCATAAACAAAGAATTTCCTGCTCTTTGAATGCAATTTCCAGAACTAACAATGTGAAGTACTTGTGCACTATAAGCACTGAAGCAGGAAAGTACGGGGTACAAGAGAAATTAGCAAGTGAGACCACAGGAAGAAAAAGTTGTTATGTTGGTTTTTTAACATCATTACTAGACAATGATGTGAATCGGTACTGTAACACCTGACTAGTTTATAGGGCAGCTGCAGAGATCTGGAAAAAAGTGAAGCTGATCACTGACTAAAACACCAGGTTTATTTCAGCTTATTAAGTGCCATAAAGGACGGTGCTCCTGGTGCCCAGAGGCAGCAGCAAAAGATAGTTTTAAATGATAGAAAAGCTCACAGTGCTGCTGCAAATTTGAAGGACGAGAAAAAAAACACTACGAGGTAAGTTTGTGAGTGCACTGAGCAGGTGAGAGAGAGAAGGTGAGAAGGATCTTTTCCCTTTCCCTTATGTTTCTTCTCACTCCAAAAATGAAATGAAACATTCATCCGAAGTATGTTGCTAAATCTCAAGCACAAAAAAAAACAAGCAGAAGGAAATGAAATGCAATGCTGCCAGCAGCAAAACACTGATCTTTGCTCATAATAGAAACATTCCCTAGAAGTGTAGTTTTTCCTGGCTTTGCCCCATCTTATTCTTCCCAATTCATCCAACATGGAATACAGCAGGGAAATTACACATGTCACACAGAGTTATAAAAGGGAAAGCTTTGTATAAATAGCCTTGGTTTTCTACTTTCCCAATAAAAACTGAAGTGTAAACATCTCCCACTTACAGTTCTACAAAACTTGCTCTGCAGACATTGCACACTTAGGAATACACACCTTGTCAAGGGGCATTAGCAACAAACATAAATTTGTCTTTCAACATAAAAATATTTTTAAAGCAACTTCAATGCACTTGTTTTAGTAAAACACAATGTTTTACTAAAGCAATCATAATACAAATGTTAAGCTACATTTTTATGAGTATTTTCTCATTCAGGTCAAATTCTGCCCTCTCTCATGTCACCCTGCAAAACTAGAATTTAAAATGAATCTTGACTCTTCTTTCTACAATTGAGAGCCAAGTACTGGAAAAGTATGATGGGAAATGCAGGAAGAACAAAAAAAATAGACCTATAGGAGCTAAGAAGATGTGAAAGGCTTCAAGCATTCCCTTTTAATTGAAATGCTGTGTAATTAAACCCAATTTTGATAATGGAAGCTTATGTGTTTTACTCAGATTTTATTCATTCCTTGTACATCACTTAGACAGACAGAGGTCTCTCTTCATTCTTTAGTATTGCTAGAAATCCCAGATAAAAACTCTAACCTCTGTCTGCAAACATTCAAAACTTGGCAAGTGTTACCCATGATAACTTATATATAGGGATAATCTTTAAAAATGCAGGGAAATTCTTCACGGCCTCTTGTTTGTAATCCTCAACCCACTTAAATCTGATATATTTATCAGAAGGAAGTAAACAAGAAGACATTTCTTACAGTCTCTGCAGCACACATCCTTCTTGACCTCCAGCAAGACATACCTACGTTTCCGCACTGCAAAGTGGTACTAAGGCTACTGGTCTCAGGTCATAGGCCTGTATATTTTTCATACATTTCTCTGTATCCATCAGTGCTGACAGAACAGGGGTCACTATATTCCTCTTTCCACTGCTTATCATTTTTGAATCAGAATGTAACCCCCTGAATGATGTGGCAAGACAGAACACTGTCTGCAAGCAATCCGCTACTCTTTAGCTACAATAACCTTGTTAGTTTATCAGTTTAAGCAGATGGTCTGAAATAGCCTCATCACCGCTGGTTATGCAGCAGAGCTGGGAACAGGAGGATTTCTAGCAAAGATGAAGTGACAACTAAATTGGGATCTTTCTTCTACAGGCTTAGCTAGATGCAAAGAAGGAGCTGCAACCATGGTTATATGATGGAATATTAGTATTTCTAGTCTCTCTTCCAGGGAAAAGAAAAAAAATGAACTCTGAGCTGACAATATGGTCTCCCTGGTTCCATTTCAATCCATTTGGTCCAAAATTAAGCAAGCTATTTGCTACTAATACTCCAAAAAAGCCTTTCAATTTGGGAATCAGAACACTCTCCCCTTCACACTGTGCTTCTCTAATGACTGACCAGAACCAACAGTGACACAGTGGAGATTACACTTCTTGTTAATTGGCTTCATTCAGTGTAAAGACAAGTAGCTGGACAAACAGATTAGTCTAGTTCAGTACAACCATGGCGGCAGATGAAAAGAGCACTGAACAAGGAAAATGAAGGAAATGAGAAATAAGCAAATTACACAGACACAAGATTAATTCAAGCCCACTGCTGATGACAAGAATTGGATTTTGTCCATCCAAATAAGACATCCCACGTGGTCACCAATTCAAACCCTGTCTTCAGTGATTGCACTCCACGTCCCAGTGTGGGCGTGACCACAGTTACAGTTAAGATGTGCTTGGTGTAACAAGCCATCAGGAAGCAGCTTAATATGGCCAAAAATTAAGTCCCACATTTTTGGAGAAACAAGGCAGGCAATACTAATTGAAATGGAGCAGTGAGTTGGAAAGTAGCATTTCTAAAAAAACACGATGTGAGGATCTTGGACGATAATTAATCTGAACAAAAGTTCCTAATGGTGAAGAGGATGTGTATAATAATGCATACAATTTTTGTTTTTTGTTTTGGTGCTAGTAAAGGGCCCAAATGCCCTTTGCTAACATTCACATTTCTAGAGGAATGAACAATATTGAAAAGGTTCAGAGAAAACAGATGTGTGAGAACTCTTAAGGCTTAGAAACCTCAGAGCTCTCAGCAGCTCAATACATGCACACAGGCTTTTCAAAAGATAACTATGGGTTTCCTTTACCTCAACCAATATAATGGGTAAATAAGAGCAATATCATCAATCCAGTAGTAAAGCCTACAACTGCTACTAAGACTGGAAATTATAGTCTACAAATTTGTACAAGAATAAAAATAAATCACAGTCATAAAAGAGAAGGCAATTAAGAAATTAATCAGAGGAAGTAGTAAGGTTTCCATTGTGTGCTATTTAAAACTCATTATAGGATGTTCTTTTCCAAAAAGCCATGTTCTTGCTTTAATCAGCTCATGAGTATCCTGTATGTCACACAGAATCTCAGACTAGACAATCACAAGTCTCCCCTCTGGGCAGATAATCTATTAATACATATTTCTGAATTAATGAAGACTGAGAAAGACATGTATGTCAGTGAAAAGAAACCCTCCACTAGTGACTAGCCACATCTCATTCCTTAAATCCAGCTAATGCTCAACAGGTTGTTCTACTGATACAAAGTAGAAATCAGGTCAGAAAGCACAGATAACTATTTACATGCAACTGAGAGACTGATAATGAGATCAGAAACTAAACGCGCAAGAGCTTCGGCCACAAGAGACTTGAATTTAAGGATCCTAGCTCTGCACTAGTACTGTGCAGGCAAAGCAGGCTGCAAAAGGGGACACAGCAAGTCATTCTATAGCATGAGATCAAAAAGAATAACTGTCACAGTATTTGTATGATACTAAGTAAAACTTCCTTTTAAAACACCGATTACATGGCTTAGGGCAATAAACCCATATATAAACCCAAAGGATTACAACTGAACATGCACAGCTAATATACATAATTTTCTCAGCACAAGAACTAAGAAGCGTTCAGCTTTATCTTTTTTCTACTGAACATCCTGGCAACATTTTCCCATTCATCTTAAGTTTCTGTTTTGTCTAACAGTTATTAGACTGAATGTTAATTGTGTGGGTCAGAAAACTGCACAAGACTGATATTCTCATGCCAAGCAAGAGAAAAGGAAGGAAAATGTAAGAAACAGGTGTGCCCTCACTGTTCAGTCATTTAGTCCTATGTACAGCACAGTCTGTACCTATCAGTTCCATTTGCAATTGACAAGACTTAAAATATGAGGTTTTTTTATGCAGCCCAATATATGATACTTGGTGAAAATACGACCAGATCTCAGTGTTGTTATTCTACAGTACTTCTCTGCAAGTGGGAGAGACACTGCAGTAATTACAACACTAAAGAAACGCAGATCTGACGTTACATAGAAATAAAATGAGGTTGCACACTTCTAGAGTCTTCAGTGAAATACCCCGACCAGTTCAAAATACAGCACACTTCTGGTTGTAGATATATAAAAATAAATCACTGAATGAAACCTTTGTATATGACAATGATTGAAGCTTACAAAGCTTCTTGGAACCTTTAATTTCCCATTGCTTCTAACAGCTACTTTATCATCCAAAATTATTGTGATATTAAGTTTACAAAAAACTATTAATCCATTAGTAGTAGGGTGTGCATAAATAACAATGGATCCATCTTAATCTAGACAGATACAAGTTTCCTCATCAGCAAGACTTCAAGATCTTCAATTCAATTCTCTAAATGCTGATTTTCAGACAAAGAACAGGTTCATAGAAAAGGAATACCTCTAAGTTGAGAGTTATGTCTTATTATATTGATCAAAATAAATTTACTCAGGCAAATAACTTCAGAAAACTCACCTTCCAGAAATTATCTACTTTGCCATAAACGAGAGATTGATTCTGCCTTTTGATGTCATTAATGTGTTTAATGTCACTGGAATTCAAATGCTGCTCTACCACAAATCCAAGGAAGCTGTTATCTGGAGTGTGAGCTGTAAGAAATGGAGCATATTCAGAATCTCTTTAAGTATTAGTTAATGTTACAAAAGCATTCATGTTGCCAAGAAAATAGGCATAAGGAACATAATATTCAACAAACTACTTCACGTTCTCACTGAGAGATACATTTGCTTACCTTATTTTTGAGAATAGCTCCTACTAATTTTAAGTCCTTCTGCACATGTCTACTGAAGTAAGCAGCTATATTCTGGCTCATTTCCTTTAATAAAATTTCTGCAGCTGGACCAAGGCCAATGATACTGACTTTTTTTTTTTGTGTACTCAGCCTCATTTTACTATTAGAGATAAGAGAACCAGAAGGAAACCAGCTTGACAATCCCAAAGATACAATACCATGTGATTTGAAGGAACACGGTATTTAAGCTTGTTAACAAAGCAGTATGTTGCTGAGTGTGATAAACCTTATTAAATTACTTGGGCTCACCTCCTATATTGAAAGAGTCAACATACATTCTATGTTAAGTATTAGCCTATGAAGTCACACCATGCAAATCAGAATACAAGTTTCACTGCTTAATTCACTCAAATATATGTTATAAAATAAAAAAGGGACAACTGAAATGTCAATACTTTTGTGTTAGTTGCAAAGGATATACAATTTACTCTTCATTGTCTATATTACTTTTAGTTTTCATTGGTCTTTTTTCAGCAGTGACCTCCAGCAGCATTAGGCACTTTTCCTCCTACAAAGGTAAAGAATTGTAGACTCATGGCAACTAAGTTAGTGGGTTTTTTGTCTATTTTGTGGGTGGCGTTGCTGCTGGTGCTTTTGACTGTTTGTTTGTTGAAAAGGTGTTCAATTGCAGGGATGAACCACAATGTTCAAAGCTTCTGGTAAGAATTCATCAGTACTGCACAACAACTACTGCAACATGTTGGTTTTTTGCACATATTTAAAAAGTGGCACAGCCTTACCTGCCTGCATAGAAATATAGCTGCAATAAATCCTAGGTTCTCTATAAGTCCCACCTTTTTCTATTAATTCAAGTTGACAACTTGTGAGCACATTTTGCACAACTTAAAAAACAAAAAAAAAAAAAAAAAAAGAAAAAGAAGAAAAAGACAGCTTCCATACAGGTGTGACATATGCAATGTTAAACTCATAGACAAAGTTCAACAAACAAATTCTATTGCCATTATGAAGTTTTACTTTTTGATTGCTGAAAATCAGCCAGTGGGGTAACACAACAGAACAGAGAAACCATACACAGTGTACAATTCCCTCTGTTGTTATATTTAGTTTTTCACATGACAATTACTCTTTTTCTACAAAAAAATGCCTCAGCAACAACTAGGCACTCACTTAGGCCCAAGGACTTTTTAGCATTTAGCAAAGTAAATGGCATGTGGCAAATATGCCTGAAAAGGAGCTTTTTTCTGTCCTTTCATATTTTTGGATAAGAGACCGCATTCAAAGGAGAGGCAAGGCAGAACACACTCAAAAGAAAAACCTCTGTTGAAGTTAGCACTTAGAACTGGTTTCAGTGCCTTAAATATCGTTGACAGGAAGCATGCAGATGGATTTTTAAACAAGATCATGCAGTATTAAAAGTACTAATGGGGTTACTTTGCATAATAGAATTTAAATAGAAAACATAAGAATGGGAAAAAAAAAAACACCCTCATGTTTCCGGAGAGCTCAGTGAACAGTCAAGCATGGTAATACACCAAAGATTTGAATACAGCTTGCTTGTTGCTCACTAATAATTTTCTGCCCTTATAATCAGAGTTCTCAAAACAGAATAGGAGTCTGGGAATCTTGGAAAGGCAACCAGGGTTCCAATCTGGCATAAAATCTTTACTGATGCATGATATGTATGCACTTTCAATCACAGCCCAATAATGATGCTGCTATCTCTGCATCAGAGAACAAAATACAAAAATAAACTTTAAATATTGCAAAACATTACTTTTTAGCTCCTATTATAAAAAAAAAAAAAAAAAGCTCTAAATCCTTGACCAATCTATAATACTGCAATCACTCATGCTTCAGAAAGCATTTGCTTGCAATCTCTTTGCCATGTTTTCTACAAAGGAAAAATAGCAGTTGTTTCCAGCATTAAAACCCAGAAATGCTTACTTATTGAAATTTCAATACAGTCATACTCTTCAGAAAAACTGATTATGAAGTGATTTGTTTCAAAGAGCAGAATATAACAGTAGTCTAAGTTGCCTTACGTAACAGAGCTCTTCCCTAGGGAGCTGTACTTCAGCATTTCTTGGAGTGGGTCTAAGGAAGTGCACACAGCTGTACCACAAGTATTCACGCAAATGCTTTCCTCAATCACACCATCACCCTTGGTGTTCTCTTGAGCAGGATCTCACAGTCAAAGTTCCTAATAGTTGAACTACTCAAATACACACACTTGAGCCTTTGGCTCCTTTTCCATGTATGATATAGACCAATAATATTAGCAAATCGTGTGGATATGGAACAAGTTCTGCTCATTAAAGTCCAGTCACTAATTCTGCAACCACTCCCAAGCCACATTTCCCTACCACGCCTTTTTCAGTTGGAACGCCTCTTCAAAGAATTTAACTAGACAGCTAAATTGCAAAGCATGCCAGATAGACAGCAGTGTGTACACTTCTGCTACAAAGAGCAGAAAAGTTTAAAAGATGTGACTAAGCCATCTAATTAGAAAGAACAGGACGTGCCTTGGCCATAGCCTCAGGGACCATCACCAAACTTTGGAAGTCAGGCTGATCTCTACCCAGGGCTTCTTTTTAGACTTGGGCTGAGAACTCCAGCACGTAACAGCACACACTTTTCTCTTTCCTAAGCCTCACATACCCTCAAGCTAGCTGGCAGTGGTGAATCTTTCTGCACCTTTCAGAGAGAACAAACTTAAATTGCTACTACGGCATGCAAAAGAATGATCTTTTGAGCCTAGAACCAAGTACCGTTAAGTCAAGTCTTGTGATAGAGTAGGTCAGGTAATCATTTAATCTGATAAAATTTATATAGAATTCATAAGGAATTGTGCTGCTCAGTTGTATTTCTGCCATTTTCTCCTCACAACTGCATCAGCAGTACAGCCTATAACAATGCAAAAGTAATTCACAGAAGAAAAAGCCAGCCACCACTTTCCACAGGTAGCCTGAGCAGGGAGTTCCCAATCTTTATTCATATTGATGTATTTTTTTCCTGTGTGTGAAAGTAGGGCAGAAAATTTATGCTTATGATTCTGCCTTTTATCTGCATTTTATTAAACCACAGAATTGTCTTCAATAATTCAAACATCCACCTCAATGATAGCATTTCATTATTAAGCTCCAAACTCGTCACAAAGCCAGGGATACTTACGGAACATTGTATAGAACTGCTGGGGATTAAGGTTCCACTTTCCCCATGGTGTTTTGTGCCCTTTAGACTGAGCATAATGGGCATGGTTAAATTCTGGTTCAGTTCCAAAGGAATCCAGAACTCTTAGCATACACCTACAACAACAAAAAAAGATTTTCTATAGGTACACGTGCACATATATATATATAAACGTGTGCATATACACACACAGTTATAATTAAGAGGTGTTTTGTTTGTATTTGCAACTGAGAATAATTTATAAACCGAATGTACATTTCAATTTCAAACATTTCTGGTACATTCACAAAGACATTACAATCAGCAAGTTCAAGGATATTTCAGACATTCAAATAACAACCCTGGAGCTTGTTTTGGGTTTTTTTTTTTTTAGTTCTAACAAAATGAAGTCACGCTTGAACATCTAAGTAGAGCTTATGGGAATGTGACTATGGTCACCTACAATCCTTAGGCTCTGAAGTCGAATTTAGGCAGAAGAAGAGAGGATTCTTCATCTATTTTCTAATGCTCTAATGCACTAGTACAAAACCAGTGCCAAGGGCCATGTGTCAAGATTAGACTAGTACTTTGTCTTTAGACAATTGTATTTAGTCTCCAGATTCTGACTTCTGGGTCAATTAAACCTACCAGGGAAGCACTGAAGACTGCCTAATTTGCTGAAGACTTTCAGTGTGACAAAAAGTTTTATAAGCGAATGGCCTGAGACTTCTAAAGAAGTAATACAAAAGTCAGAAGTCTTCAACAGCTAGTTTACAACTGAAAGAAATCTTGGCATTGGATTACTAGAAGTCTAGATGAGAGATTTACACTCAGTTCTTTGCCAACAGCCCTATTAATTCCTTGAACAAAAATTAATCCAATTACAACTTGCTTTATTTAAAAAGAAAAAAGAGTCCACGGGACATGAAAGCCAGACAAAAAAAATAATCTTAATATGAAGAAAATGGTGTGGAAACTTCAGATTCGAGAAGTTATATCTTGAAAATGCAGTCTGGTAAACCTTTGATAATGTTTAGACAGGAACTTTATTTGCAGCAGTTATTCTGACCATTAGGACCACTGGAAATAAATTCTATTACAGTGTTGACTCTCCCATTCTTCAGCTTTCCAGTAACAAAATCTGTCAGATAGAGTTAGAGTTAGAGTTAGTTAGAGTTAGTAGAGTTATCTGACAGATAGGCTGTGTAGCATTATGTGGCACGCTGCATTACGATATAAAGATATGAACACTCACTACAGCACATTATGTCACTAGGCTTGTGTATGGTGCAAACCAGAGCAGTAAAAGTCACTAGTAACATAGCTGCATTTCCAAGTCTTCAACATACAACTTATATATGTCCTAAGCCCATATAAAGAGAAAATACCCCAATGTGACAGCAACTTATACACTGCCATATGGAATGACACTGTTGCATACAAGAGTACAAATGGGGCCAATTTACTTTGTTTGTTTTTGAATCTTCACGGAGATCTTTCAAGCAAAAAGCAAGTCAAAATATACAACAATTCACCAAGCAACAAAGCTGGCAGATCAGTTTCTTTGCAGTGTTTTATGTCAACTGTTCTCAATGAAAATATTTTACAATGGTAGCAATTATCTCTGCATTATACAAAATACTCCAGAAGAACAACAAAAATAACTTCTGCAGTGATGACCCACTGAGTAATAAAAGCCCTCTTATTTCTTGGCAAGCGTTGAAACAGAATTCTTACCGAATGTACAGCAAATGGACAGGTACACGAGTGCAGAGAAAAAAGATAGTGAGTGAGAGCTAATGAAAAACTGCAATACTATTGGAGTTTGTCTAATCATACATGTAAGGAGCAAGGCATTGCAAGCCATCAACTCAAAGTGCTTTGTTTCCTCCCTTTCTCTTATATTCGGATGTAAGATATATGAGCACTAATATATAGTGATGAAGTGTAACTACGTCCAAGACAAACAGGGATTCTCAAGTAATAGTGTGAGAACTGCAGTGCAATGGATAATAAGCTCAACAAGGAAGCAGAGAAAACAAAATCTGTGTTTACAGTGTTAGAGTGTGAAGAAAATCTGAAAGACGAGAAAGATCACAGTGAAAATGATTGGTGTCAGACTGATTAAGCTATTCAGGGGCACGATTGGTTGACTCACAGCAGATTAAAAACCAAGCTGTCACACGTCTCCTCTTTACAAATACTAAACTGAACTATCTTTTAGATTTCACAAAGATAATGCTGGAAATACTGAGAACTACTGTATTTTATAGTATGACATTTCTCTCACACCTAAAAACTGGAAAGCAAGGGGTACATCACTATCAGAGAGCAGAGCATTGTCTTTTGACACACGGAGTATTTTACAATGACTGAGCCAGAAAGCACTCTTCTTATCTACAAAAGACTTCTACAAACCATAGATGAGTTCTAAACAGAGGATAGGTAGATAGCAAACAGAAATAGACATTAACATCTTCTTTCTTCTGTCACTGATGTAAACACATTTTGGATTTACAAAAAAAAAAAACCAGAAAAGCAATGAGCTGCACTACTCAAACTATAATAAGATACTAATTTTTATGTTACTTCCTTGCACATAAATTGCATTTAAATATCCAGACTTGAAAATTGAAAAACACTGCCATATCTAGGCATTCTTCTGCTTGAACATAATGCACACTCAACGAGATGGCTTTTGATATATTCATGCTACTTACAGCACAATTATACCACAAATAAAACATGTACTACGTTTTAGAGAGGTGTTGGTGCTACAGACCTCAAAAGCACAAAGCAGTATTTCAGTTGCTCAGAAGCTCAGAAACACCTCTCAGAGCAGGTCATTCTTCTGAGCTAGTAGTTCTAAGAATCTGATTTCAGATTGCCAAAACCTTCTTCAGGGCTCAAGCCCTCACAAAGATTACATATAGTACTTCCATGAAAGGACTGTAGGCAGAAGTTTATTCTTCCACTCTATTTCAACCAGAAGCGAATAACAAACTTTCATTCACTTATAGTTGAGTATGGTTTGCATGAAACAGACTGAGCTGACCAGCAGGTCTGCTGAAAAACAGATCTTCTGGCATGAAGCAGAACATTTCTTTCAAGATAAGGGAACAGTTTCTGGTATCATTACATACTAATAAGTGAAGAAACAAAGCATGTAAAGAACAAGGGCTTTAAGACAGCTACATGTATGATAACATTTACTTTACTGGAGTGAACTTAACACAAACATGTAAATAAGGTCTTTTATACCAGACTTACTCCCTCAACTTGAAAAATGTTATTATTATTACAAACTTTATGAGGTAACTTACAATGCTGAAAAAAAAAAGTTTGCAATAGTATTCTTAAAAAGGAGATAGCTTGCGTGAAACTGAATTAATTCATCTGCTCTAATCAATTCTGGTAGTCTCTGGGAAATAATTTAGTCTCCAGAACTATGGGGGAATAAGCAGGAACAAGAAGTTCACAACAAATCAGGTCAAGAAAGACACTTAAGTATAACTGTATGAAAGAATGGCTGTGGTATTTTTGGCAAAAAAATCACTTAAGAAGGATAAATACAGGTGATCTGTTTTTCAGCAACAGTGTAAACTAGATGAGCTCCTATTCAATCCTCTGATAGTGCTGCAGAAGAGCAATTAAGTGATTTAATTTGCATCTTCAAAACCATATGAAAAACTCATATACTACCTAAGATATTTATTTACAATTAAATTTAATTCTACTCTGCTTAAACAGAGCACTCAGTCATTACCACATATTGGGAACCAATGAAAAACAGACTGACTGCTAAAGATTTAATCATTCATGAAACAAACAACGAAAACTGAAGAGCTAAGGTGATAATCTCAACATCATGGCATATCTTCATATCTTTGCTACAGAATATGCCATATAGGAAATTAAAAAAAAAATAGAAGAAACTTTTTCAATTTATACACATGGTTTTCTATCCTGACCACAACACTGTAATATTACCATTTAGTGACAATTACATCTTGCAGACAGACAACCAACTGTAGCTCAGTGGAAAATGAGATTAGCTTTATTAGCAGACTCCTAGAAACCAGAATATCCATTTACTGCTCCGCTTCAAAAAAGAGATTAGGAGTAATCTAATCTGCAGTGTTGATCACAGTACTCGCCTTTAAAATTATGCTGAAAAGACACAAGGCTCTAGCAAATCCTGAGGCAGAAAGAAAACAATTCTTCCTTCAGGAGAACACCTTTCAGTAGCATTTATCAAGTAGGATTTACTGGACTTTATGGATCATAAAAACAGCTAATTCAACTAGGAATTGAAACTTTAAAGTCAGTAATTTAGAGTTGGTTTTATTTCATGCTGACATAATATCAGAGCAACACAAGTGAAGCCTACTGATTTCAAGTTACTCACAGAAGTAAATGTGGTTCTGTAACTGCAGACAATAAGACCATACTAAGTAATTTCTTATGACCACCATCTTCCGTTCCTAATGCTATTAGATTATGGAAACATCAGTAAGTACTGTTACTAGAAGGTTTATTCCTTAAATCTACCCCTGAAGACAATTCTCTCCTCAACATTTTTGGGGATGAGACAGAAATACTAAACTGTGGTTGAGCAATAAATTCTGAATAGATAAATCTTCGCAATCATCAATCCAGTATAGTTACAAACACTGACAAGGAAAACATGCTTGGGTTAGCCAACCAACAACAAAATTCAATCATCTTTCAGTCATTACGGGACAAAAGTTGAGGGTGTTGGTATAAAGAAGAGAGGGTAAGAAAAGATGATTGCTCTAGAACATGATATAATGCACAGAGATGAAAAATGTTTCAGTCTACTACAAGTATTCCAGACTTGGTTGGGAGAAGTGGTAAAGGGGGTATGCAAAGAAGTAACAGCTCCTTTATTCCAAAGAGTGAAGGGCAACAGAAAACTACATTTTTACTTTTAAATAATTTCCAATTCATGTAAATGTACTCACATCAGTATTTTGATATGTTATTCAATAGCAGCTCTTTAACAAAGCAGTTAAGAGGTCAACTAACTATGATACTTACTGGTAATGCACCCATGACGGTCCAAGTGTTTTCTTAAACTGAGTGAGTCCCACTATATCAATGTAGATGAGTTCTACAACTTTATCTCCCTGGGTAGGGCAGCCAGATCTGTTACCTACAACCTTCTTCATAATTCTAAACAAAAAGAGAAGGAACACGGAAAAGTATTACTTTCAGAACTACCTTGATTTCATGCTATTTTATTATTTACACAGATAACCCATCTTTCCAAAAAAGCCAGTCTTTTCCTTTACAAAACATTAGCTATGTAACTATATTTAAGTACCCAAGATCCTCAACATTCACTGAAGAGCTGTTTATACATCAGTAAGTTGCTAATTTTTGCTAAAAGACTCTTTACTTAAAAAAAAAAAAAAAAGTAATATGGTCAGAATGTTTAAAAATTGTGTGTTTTGAAAGTGATGGAAAATGATTTCAGACTTCCATTGACAGCTCTATGGTGTAAGAGCTAAAAATGATGCTGTTATGTTTGTTATAAAAAAACTGAAAAGCCACACAAAAGGTGTACGTTCTCAAGCTTAAAATAGATTAATTATGCTTAATGCTGTCTGTCTAATGCACAGCAAAAGAAAGATAAGTGAGGCAGCAATTTGACCTAACATAAGCAATTAACTACAAAAAATATTTTAAAGTATTAAAACCTGTATTTTAAAAATCAGATACTGATTGAATAATAGTATAAACTGAAGAAGAGGACATAGAATTAGGTTAAAACTTCTTACTGCAGCTGGTTAAAGCACCTGGGATGTTAAAGAATAAGCTGCTTAGTTTAAATTTTACAACATTCACTTATGAAGTCTCAGGAGCCTGAAGCTACAATGAAAACACATTATCTTTTTCATAGCACATATATTTAACTCATGAAAACAATCTTGTCTGTTTAGTGAATTATCACTTTCATTTTATCCTTCAAGAAATTATATGCTCTGCTAATAGAAGCTTCAAGCGTTTACAGTTTCCCTTTTTTTTCCCCTTTGTATTCCCATTTCAAAATTGAAAGTAATCTCCTTACTCCTTGAGCTCTGCTAGTGAAGCTGAAATCCTGATATCATGGCCCAGTAAGTAGAGAGATGTAATTAAATCACTCCATTGGACTAATTCACCAAGCGGGCCACCACTAAACGCATTCTCAGCAATCTTGAATCCGGACTCTTTTGTCAAAAGCCCAAGGTGAACAAGAATCTGGAAAGAAAAGTTGTACATTCCTTAATGACATTAAACATGCAGATAACATACTTCACAGCACTTTTTCTTTAATTCCAACCATCTACAGACAGAAAAAAAGAAACAAAAAGAAACACAAAGCCAAAGCAAAACCCAGCGATCAACAACAGCAATCCAACACCTCCACCTTAATCAGAGACCTTGTAAATAATTTAATTCGTAATTTATCTTTAGTAACTGTAAGAATGTTACCATATTACTTGCATTATTATGTGCCAACAGATCAGTAATAACATGCCAAATTTGATATTATTCACAAAATTATTTGTATTCTGACACACTTATGCAATAAGACAGTTCAGTTCATGTTGCCGTGAGCAAGCCATTAAAAGCTAGGAAAGACTTCACAAGAGTGACACTGGAGGAGAGTTTTCTCTGCAGCTCCTTGAAATTTGTGCTTAACTTTCTAAGTAAGCTCAGCTCGGTTCCAAACACTTCAACACTTCACTATGTCTCTGGACTGTTATTTGAGTGGTGGTACATATAGTGCCAAGCACAAAGCCCCCTGACATCAAAACACTTCTCCTTCACTCTTTAATGTAACATTCATAAAAACATTTTGCTCCAATCCAGAATTGGTCAAATTAACATGAAGTCATCATGTGTTTTGCAGAGCAACCTTAAAGAGCTTTTAAAAGCATAGAATAAGCACTACAACACCCCATCAAAGCTGCCTGAACAAGACAGTACTGCTTCTGTTTCTTTTTATGCATTCTGAGATGCTATATTTCTTTACTAAGCAGGCTGGATTGCTGCTTGAAATGAGCAATGCATTGACAGAGGGTGAGCCTTCTCAAGGACTGTGGCATGTGACAAACCTGAAAACCACAACACGGAGTCTATATCTCACGCAGGAACTGTGAACCTCAAGCAAGGAGCCAACCTGTGGTAGGATCATGACTGCCTCTCAGGGTTGGCTCCAGTCAGCATAGGGCAGGAAGGGAAATTATTGTGTTTATAACTGTTGGCTTTATTTTAACTAGTTGAGGTAAATAAGAAATAAAACTTAAAAATGAAAACAAAATAGAAACTTTGATTTCAAGAGTATTACAGACTTTAACCTGGACTCACTAGAGGTCAAAAGAGATCCAGTCAAAAGTTGTGATCAACTCAAAGTCTCCTCCAATCCAAAACAAAGATGCCATTTAAAATGCTGCACAACTGTTGTTTTCTACAGGTATCTAAAACATTCCTGTGTAATCAGTTTCTGTTAAATTCACAGTTCCTCTCTTTGGAATCTTCCGTATAGTTTTTCTTCAAGTTAAGATTAAAGAGATGAGAAATTTTTTTCAACGGCTACCTTACTAAATGTTTATAAAACTATGTGTAAACCACCAATGGAAAAATAATTTAAAAAAATAAAATACCCTTTGAAAAGGGACCGACACGAACCTCTTAGACATATTTGATCCTTCTACACCAAAGTTGCTTTTGGAAAAGTAGCTTAAAAGCAGGCTAAATGATTGCAAGTGTCAGGAGTGAAAGATGTTTTAACTTACCTTCTTTCGTTTTCTATTCTCCAAATTTTGTTTTTCTGCAAGTGATTTAATTGCTTCGATCCAGGTATCAGCCATTCGTCGGATACGTAACGTCATCCATCTGAATTCCTCATGCCTCGACATCATTTTGTAGAGAGGATCAAAGTTGATACGAATTTCAGCCTTCAATAAAAACGTTAAAAAAACATACAAAAAAATACTAATGTTATTCTTCAAACTGTGGACCTTCCAGAAGTGATGAAAATTCCCAAATATGAATTCTGAGCTTTACGTTACTTGTGGTTAAAGAGCAGAATGTTAGAAAAAGGTATACTGATTATGTTGAACTAAAGCTGAGATTCTAGTTCAAATATTTAAAATATCTTTATTTAAATAGAGGTTTCTAAGCCATGTAAAGTAATTATTTTTATTAGTAGTACTTCGTTGCCTTTGAATACATTTGTGGTGTTTCAGAGTGTATCTATTTCTGCAATACAAGAGTTGGTTTTTTTCCCGTGTTTGCACAATGAGGTTAAAGCATCTTTAGAACAAAATACTAATTCAGAAAGTTACACTGAAGATTCAGTTATGTTATGGATCTTCAAAATGCAACGAAGTATCTGGTGATATCATTAAAGCACAAACTTTACTACAGTAATGCTTCAAACATTACTACAGTAATACTTTAAAAGGAAATACTAGTTTTCAAGCTAAATTGCTAAATCAATCTAAAACCAATTGGTTTTTAGACCATATGTCAACCTATATCTACATTTTATAATCAATGGTCACACGCAGCTCAGCAATTATTTAAAAATACTTAAGTACTACATAATTAGACAAAAAAGAATTTAAAAACTCAAGAATTGTTTCCAACAGAAAAAAAAATCAAAATGTTACAAAACTGAAATCCACATAAGGCTCTTCTGTTACAGTATTGTTATATATAAATCTCAGATTCATGGGACAGCAAAAATGGGCAGTTTCACAGATATTTAAAGGAGCGATGGTGGACGTGACGATATGGCTGCTTATTACTGGTGAAGAGCCTGTTGGAGCTGTATCTTAGTCTGTGCACAGTGCTTCATAACCTAAAGCATGTAAATGTTTTTAGAGAAAATCTACCACCAAGACTGCAGCATGATAGAAGAAAGTACATGATGAGCCACATATGCATACATGTACATATATGCAGTCAAACATTCTTCCCTTCAGCTTTCAGGAACTGAGGAACAGCAATGGTAAACTCTAGTCTCATTAGCATTTATGTGAAACAAGACTCCAGAATCTTTTGCAGGAACAACAATACTGAACTGTTTTAATGTTTTTCTTACCACTGTCTTTTGATCAGTTTCTTCATTAGGATTTTTTGCTCTCCAAGGTAAACGAGGACACCAATTTTCAACCTGTAAAACAATCAAATGAAAATACATCATTCTATTCTACTTTCAGCTCACTTATCCAGCTCTGACTGCCTATATATTACACTTTCCTGCAGTTTGAATAAGACATCAGCTGATCAGTAAGTCACTGCAAGGTAAGAATGCCTTTTGTAATCTGTCTTTCAAAATGGCTTTCTGAAATTCATCGCTTTTAACCTTGCGACAACCAAAAACAGCACTTAATCATTAGTTCATAATAATGAATGCAAGAGAGAAAACTCAAGTCAGAGGTCAGCTGTTAAATGCTCTGAATGAGGTTTGTCTGAATAGTTTCTAAATGCTTTCATAAAGCACTAAGTTTGTTATGCTTCTAGAACTTCAAAACTGTATTTTTTTTAACATTTTGCTGTCTCCCTAAGATATGTTTACAAAAAAAAAAAAAGATTGATAAAAACAAGGAACAATGCTCTGCCTTGTAGTAGAATAGGCAATTTTTTAAAAAAAGATGAATTAGAAAAATTCCTAATTGTTAAGTAATGTAATAATAACACAAGTATTAATAGCCATAATTCTGACAGAATTATGACAAAAAAAAGAAACAAGCAATGCAAATGCAGTACTTCTCCTATCACCTCTTCTAGAAAAAGAACCCCCTACAACAGCTACTGGTAGGAAAAAAAACAGCAAATGGAAGATAGCCACCAAAAGTGCCTGTGCTATCTCTAGAATTGTCACTTGTCCTACTAAATCTGCATTATCCACGTGAAATGATCTGTCCCTTTATTTCTGTGAAGAAAGAATCTCACTGTTGGAAACAAACCCATGAAAGCAAAACAGAAGCATAACTTTATTGTTAAATGGCAAAACCAAAGTTTATATGCCAGCTAGAATACCCCATCACGAATGGTTAAATTCACAACTTGTAGAGAATCAGAAATCAGTGTTGCTCATAAGGGGCCCTCCAGTCACAGACCTGTCAAAACACCATTTTAGCTTAATCATGCTGCAATAAGCCTGAAGTATTAAAGATTAAGGGCTTAAGATTGTACCAAATGATTGCCTAGAAGAGCAATTACACGAAAATAATAAATTAACAGGCATCATAACCTCATTAAAAAGAAGAAACATAGCAAGGTTAAGTTCCTAGGACAAATTATACAAAAACCTTAATTTGAATGTTACAACTTAATCTACTCAATATATTTAATGCAACATTTGATAGCAATGACCTGATCAACTTGGTTTGAAATTCCTGATTACTCACTGGTCTCCAGCTCTGCAAAAGCTGTAGAACTTGTAGCAATTAAGAATCCTAAAGCAAGTTGCGAAAAACTGGTAGAAAGGAGTTGCAAGCTCCAAATTAAAAATCATGCATGGTCCAATCTCTCTTTCTCTCTGTGTGAGTAATCTTGAATTTTTCCTATCATCAAAATTGATCTAGCAGTCAAGACATTTCAAGTACAATTGTATGTGCTCTTTTTCTGGCTTATATATTTCACGCTGCACCATCACAGATCTAAGAAAACTGAAGTTTCCAAGCTGAGTATTTGACTGAGAAACAAACAGTACGTCTGTGCTTTCAGAAACATTCCATTGTCCTTCTAATTTAAATTAAATTGCAGTAATTCTGTTCACAGAAGCAAATATAAAGAACGTGGTTGGTCTAGTATTCATTTTTTTCTTATGGATACTTAAGGAATTCCTTTTCTCATTTTTGAAATAAGAAAGAACAGCTTAACTCATCACCAGATTTTTAACACATGCTCTTCAAAGTCTGTTTGTTTTCTAATTTCAGCACTAATAAAAGTGGTAGGAAGAACACGCAGGCATTCTCATAGAAAACGAAAAGGATTGTGGTTATTTCTGTGGGCTAGTGGCTCACAAACTTAGAGCTTTGGATGTTAAGATGGTCAATAAAGATCACAGGCATGCATGCATCCAGAAAGAATATTTTGTGATGATGGAACCAGCCAAAACGCCATTCCATTAACATGAGTTAATTTTACAGATAATTAAAAAGTACTGGAAATTAATATGTCATGGTTTGAGGAGAAACAAAAAGGAAAATCATGATTAGAGTGACAGCAAGAAGTCATAAAACTCAAAACTCAGTAGTGAAGCTCATACAACAGAAGTCACTTGTAGAACAGATATTATCGTTTCTTTGCCGACTTCTCTTGCCTCATGTGATACTTTAATGAATCAAACTGAGCACTTTGGCATTTCCTGATCAAAACACACAGTTTCTCATTTTTAATCCCATGATCTACTCCTAATTGCAGCTCTAATTGCTGGAGCTAAAGTTTCATGAGAACTTCACGTGACCTAGAAAACAAGCATCTTTTTCTCTTTCTTTTTTTCCGTTAAATAAAGAACCAAGCATTGTCAATTCAATTAATGACTTTAGGGTTTTTCACACAGAACACCACAAGGATTCCTATACCTAAACACGAAACCTAGAGTGGTTAAGTAATTCTCCTGGTTGCCTTGCATGACTAAACACGGCCCATAAAAGTACTCATTTCTCAACAAGGCTCATAGTTGCTCTTTTCTCAGCTTCACATGTTAACTACTGCTGTGTTAACTTTTTTTGTACACAAAGATAAGTGCTACATTTAATGAAAAAATACAAGAAGATGCTCATGAAACAATCTTTCTGCCAGCAAATACCAGTGAAAATTGAATGCTATTTACTCCAGATTTATTGACATAACACAAGTGCATCCTAGGGTTCATTATATTGAGTACTAATTTCTAACTACAGATGTGGTGATTAAGAAAGGTGAGGAATTACTAACCAGTTCAGATTAGCTTGAGGATCTTGTTGGCTTTCAATCTCCTTACTGCAGTAAGTAACCACTGACAGTATTACAGTATGCTCTTTGAAAAGATGTCATGCTTGGAACTTGCTTCTCCCTCCCTTGATCCCCTAATACTCATAGGAAGTTGCTCTGCTAGATCTGGTGATCACCTTTCATTGAAACTATTAGGGAAATGGTGGGATATAGTGGGAAGGTGAGGGGCTGAATTAAGGACTTTTGATGCACAACATTTCCTGGAAGCTGATACAGTGGGAAAAGAAAAATACTGCCTTGATTAATTTCATACTGTATTGCTAACTAACAACAAAAAGTGTGTGGGAAATGCAACAGCATTAAAGTATATCTTGTCCTTGACCAAGAAGCTTTTTGATTATATCACATGCACAATGGAAAAAGTGCATCTGGATAAAGACATACAAATACACATATGTATATATATGACTATAAATAGCAAGAAGTTACTGTAAATGCCTAAGGCTTCATTATGAAGTCAGAAATATGGTATTGTGCCACACTGTTACAGAAGTTATCCTTGTCATTATATCACTAGTGTGCATAGATGAAACCTCCATTAGAAGTGTATAAATACTAGAAACTTTGTATTTGTTTAGGTACAGATGATCACATGGCCAAAAGCCAGAAGTTTGAGCAAGATGAAGGAGGGCAGCAAAATGTGTTTAGATCTTATTCTTCAGCTTACTTATGTATTTTATTTGATTTTTTAAGGAAAAAAAAAAAAGTAAAAACTAAGCTGTGAAGAGGGAACTGGGACTTTTCTCCCCACTTTCCAGGGCTGTTTCTCTCACAGGGTTTGCAGCAGTTCTTTTTCCATGTTATTCTCTCCATAGCAACCAACTGCTACACTGCAATACACATGATTTGATAGGAAGGATGTGGTGTCAGAGTACAGAACAGAAGTTAAAGAAGACTGTTGGGAAACAGCAACTGCAGATTCAAAGACTGCCCTTTTTTAGATGAGTGACAAGCTATTAATCAGATTACAGTGTATTTATTTTTCTTGTGTCATATTTATGAATAAGAACAGCTCTGTCTCCTGTAACTAGTGTTGAAGCCCAATCAAATGCACTGATTAATCTCTTGAGCATGATCTAAGGTTAAGTCCACCAGAGAAGACCAGCTACACAATAGACAAAGAAACTTGAATATACTTGTAATAACCTGGCAACTGTCTGCAGTGTGGCCAGTTTGGGCACCTTCCACTTTGAATGAGTGCTCTGCCAGAAGCTCTCCCACAATTGCAGAAAGTTCTTTAGTGTTCAAAGAGTAAGAGTTTAACAAAGCAGAAGATGAAGGACACTCTCTAGACAACTGGGACAGTCTTCATCTTGGATTCCTCTGCATGACAGGTGCAGCCCATCGAAAGGGTAACAAAACCCAGTTTCTTTGCATTTCAGATGAGTGGTTATTGCTCAACATCACTGAATCTGTGGTAAGCACTGCTATGAAGTATCTCACGTCAATTCCAGAGCAGGAAATAAACAGTGCTGCAACAACCGGTGAAGGACAGTTCATCTTTGAATTTATCAGATGGCATGCAGAGCACTCAGTATTCACTTAGGAAAGCCATTTATGAATCTGAGGCAAAAGAACTGTTCCCATCAGGAAGCTGACTTTCCCTACTCTTCCAGAAGCTGTAATATCTCTGTTCTGTCAGCATTTACTCAGTGCTAGGAAATCATTTTGACGATGGGAAAAAAAAATAATCTGTAGTACAAGCAGATTGCTTGTTTGTTCAGAGAAACTGAGAAGTGAACACAGGTAACATAGGGTGTTTTGTTCCATAGGCAAACCCAAACGGGCTCTTATCTAACTTCAGTACTGTATGCTTAGTTTTATTCCTCTCTTACATTGGCATCTAAAGCATCTTCCAGCAAGACAGAGGAATGCTAATTCCTTTGTAAAAAGTGCACAACATAGAAAAGATAACAGCCCCAATCTCTGAAATCAAGGCCAATATGCTACTAGATGACTCAGAAACAAAGTATTGAACATCATCAGCATCTCTATTTCTTAGGGAGACGCGTCAGATACTGAAGAAGTTCAGGTTTCTGAAGCTTTACATTTCAGACAAGGCTTTTTGTCCCTTCCTTCCCCCCTCCCCCCAACATATTGGTGTAGTTCATGGATGTCCAACCTTTTGGCTTGCCCTGGGCCATGCTGAATGAAGACAAATTGTCAAGG